CTTGTAAGTCGTTTTGGAGAACTGACCACGTCCACTGTTGAGAACCTGTGAGCCTCTCTCGCCTTTCGAATGCCTTTGCTTGGATTTCGGCACTGAATTTTCGTAAGACTAGGTTGAGCACTAGTCTTTGATTGACATCCTGGCCTTTCGCGGCTAGTTGCGTCAGGATGGCTGTAATTCGTTCTAGTAGGTTAGCCTGTAGCTTAGTGGACAATCCCTCCGCCTTGGTGGTTTCGAGCTGCATCAACAGGTCTTCGATGATGGATGCGTCTTCGCCATACTTCTTTTTGAGAGCTTCGATGACTAGTTGATAGCTTGCTTCTACCACCTGAAACTGTGCTGCCGTCTGCCTTGCCTCTCCTACTAGCGACTGGAGAAGGTAGTTAAATTTGATCATCGTGGGGATTGGCTGTTCGTCCACGGTGACTTGGAATATGGCCCAGAAGGACCCCCATTCCTCGCGTCTTCCGCTAAACTTGGGAAGTTGTAGCCTGGGCAGCATTGATTGCAGCTGGGTGGACGGTGGCGGGGTTGTCCATCTTGACGACTCGTTGGATGCCTGAGGTGTGTTGACGGTTTCGAGCTGTCTCTCTCTTCTTCTTGCCGCTTGGGCGAAGTTATCCAGTCTGGAGGAAAGTTCTGTCTCCTTTTCGTCCAGCTTGTTAAGAAGGGAGAGTGCCGTCGCTGTTAAATCCCAAGCACAGTCAACATACGTTCTTGGGATGTTCGTTCTCCTTGCTGAGAGTTGTTGTCCAACGAGTTGAAGGCTTCCTGATAGCTAGAGACCGCTGTCTCTAGTGCTGCTTTGGTTGTGACGATGTTGGTGTGGCGGTGCTGTATCGATTTTATCCTAGTTCGTAGGAGATCCATTGACTCTTCTTCGTTCTCCGTGATGGGGATTTCGAAAGCTACCATATGTTGGGAGCTTTCTATCAGCTCTTCCAGTGTGTTCCCCAACTTCGTAATCCTTGTTTTGTGCGGCTTTAACGATGGCCCCATCCTTTCTTCATTTATTCGAGGCGTCTTCGTTTACTCCTATCGATTTCGTTCGGCCTGGGCTTCGTGAACGGCCGATGCACCAGAAAAATTTTGAGTTGGGTCCCGGGTACTAAAGGGGGAGAGCGAGGGGGACCCCGTACTCAAAATTGACCAAAAAAAAACTCGGAAAGAAGAGAAAAAGACGAAGTGAAAGGGTTACTGAAATCCCACCTTTCACCGGCTTCGTTGAACTGAGGCTTCGGATGTCTGAACGCTTCGTTGCCACGCGGGTCTTTCCTAGCTGAGCTTGGGCGGAAACACTGAATGAATAGTGAACGAATAACAGAACTAGGAATACCAAATCGGCTTGAAGTAGTCGCGGATAGCAACCGCCGTAGACACACACCTCAAACTTGGGTAATTAAACCCTTTATTTACCATTAATTCAACAACAACAAAACATGCGAAACAAAATACGAGGCGTAATGCAATTTTAATCGAACTTTGAGTATCATGATGAGTACCAGTAAAAGGATAAGCACTTCACGTTAAGAATGAGGCACAAAGACCTGAGTACACGAGGAAAAATAGCAAATGAACACAACAAATAATATATGGACACTACTGAGTACTATGGAAACGGCAAATAGTTGCAAAAAGGTAAACTGGAACTAATGAACCAAAAATATGTGCAAGTATGAAATGTGAACAATGGGAACAAAGCATAAGTGCCAGTATACCTCGAGGTTATGCACGATAAAGTGACAACAAGGTATGAATCCATGGTCGCCGAAGAAATGTCGATTGAGAAAGCCGAAGTCGATCCCTGTGCGCTGCCTAAAATACTTGGGTTTTGGCGCGCGAATTGATTGACAGGGGGTGCTGAGGCCGGGGATCAAATCCGGCCTCAGCACAGTACAGCCTGAATGGGAACACACATCCGACGGGGGATTGCTTCGTACCGCACAGAGCCTCAAACCTCCCCCCCCCCTCCCACCACAACTGAAAGCATACTGTTTGACCCGTTAATGCTTCTTGCAAAGAAAAGGCCAGGGGCACTCGTCTACAGCTCTTTCCAAATATTGTCCAAGTTCGATCGTCGCTCAATCTCGGCATTGTTTGATTGCTTCTTGAGGCTGCTTGAGCTGCACATCGGGATTAGTAACTGCTTTATTGACTGACGTTTCGGCTATATCGCCTTCTTCAGAATCTGATTTTGTCGAATGCATAGGTAATCTGTTCTGTAAAAAAACCGCATCAAGACTCAGAAAAGATGTTCAGTGCGTCAGAAAACCAAGAGCTGTGAAGGCAAACGCAGAATTAAACTAGTGCTCACCTAAACAGCTGATGACTGATTGGTCAGCAGACCGTATCCCAGTTACTAAACTCCAACATCTTTTTATAGTACCCAGTGACCAAGCACTTGAACACAGAAGCCACAAAGGTTCTGATAAGCGGCTATCTCACTAGTGATGGCTGTGCACTTATCCTTTCTATTCAAATTTGGAATTCTGCGGCAATGCAAAACGCTTCTAATGTCTTGCGCGCCAGGATTTCGGATTAGCGGCTAAGATCGTGAACTCTACAGCCGTGTCTGCGTCGTTATGGAAGCGCCTGTGGTACATAGAGGGGCTCCATGTCAGGAGTCACGCCGCGCGCCGCGCAGCTTCGCCGCGAACGTCGCGGCGAAGTTTTGTACCCCACAGAACTGCCCGGTGCTAAAGTGGCACGGCGCCAGTCTAGGGGGGGTGGGGGGTGGGAGCAGATACATGGCTCGTAACATAAGTAAGACTGCGCCAGGAGTGCTAGCTTCTGTTTTGCTGACATCGCTCGCGGCATCGCTTCGCGAAAAATTCGCGCCGACCGTGACTCCTGACCGTTCCCCCATAGAGGCGCCCCGTCTCGCCGATATACGTGCCTCTACATGTCTGGCAAGTGATAAGGTACACTATCCCCGACACCATGCAGTCTCCCTCCTTGCCGAAGGGACATATTACACACCCTGGGGTCAAACAGCCTATCATAAGCGCGGATACATACGAGTTGGGGGAGGTACGTCCACGATTCTTACCCAATCTTGTAGATCCCTGGTATTACTAGCCTATTGCATCAAGTGGTCTACATGATTGGGTAGGAGTCGTAGACGTACCTCCCCCAACCTTAAACGTCAGCTCATACGTAATCTGGTTTATGATAGGCTGTGTATGACCCCAGGGTATGTAATATGTCCGTTCGGCAAGGAGGAAGACTAGTATCGGGGATAGTGTACCTTATCACTTGCCAGACATGTGGAGGCAGGTAAAGGATATTCGTCGACGACTGCCCCGACTCGTTTAATCAAACCATCACGCGCTTGCGTTTTTGGAGCCTTTCCAGCTTTACAGTACCCAATCTTGTAGATCCCTGGTATTACTAGCCTATTGCATCAAGTGGTCTACAAGATTGGGTAGGAGTCGTAGACGTACCTCCCCCAACCTTAGGCGTCAGCTCATACGTAATCTGGTTTATGATAGGCTGTGCATGACCCCAGGGTATGTAATATGTCCGTTCGGCAAGGAGGAAGACTAGTATCGGGGATAGTGTACCTTATCACTTGCCAGACATGTGGAGGCAGGTAAAGGATATTCGTCGACGACTGCCCCGACTCGTTTAATCAAACCATCACGCGCTTGCGTTTTTGGAGCCTTTCCAGCTTTACAGTACGCTGCAGCGTGGGGAACTTGCAGCCAGCAATCCTGGCTCCAATACGACAACTCCACTGGGCATGCACCGCAGGCACTTTCATAATGACGCAGACATAGCTGTAGAGGTCACGATCTTAGCGCGCGAATCCGAAATCCTGGCGCGCAAGACATTAGAAGCGTTTTGGATTGCCGCCAAAATTCCAAATTTGAATAGAAAGGATGAGTGCACAGCCATCACTAGTGAGATGGTCGCTTATCAGAGCCTTTGTGGCTTCTGTGTTCAAGTGCTTGGTCACTGGGTACTATAAAAGACTAGCTGGCATACCCGGCTCCGCCGTATGTTCCGAATAGAAAATTCCATTTCTCAACCGATCCGAACCAAACTTGGCACACATACACTTCGGGCCCCGGCGGGTGTCACAGTCCACTATATTGTATTCGTAATCCCCATGCTCACTTACCCCCCTGTGCCAACTCCCAGCCCCGTAGCTCAAATTTTGCAAAAAAAAATCGATAAAATCGATATCGATCGATACGAATAGTAGCCTATGACACCCGCCGGAGCCCGAAGTGTATGTGTGCCAAGTTTGGTCCGGATCGGTTCAGAAATGGAATTTTCTATTCGGAACATACGTACACACAGACATACAGACAGACAGACATACATACATACAAACAGACATTCAGCTTTATATATAAGATGTTGGTGTTTAGTTACTGGTATACGGTCTGCTGACCAAGCAGTCAGCTGTTTAGGTGAGCACTAGTTTAATTCTGCATTTACCTGCAGCTCTTGGTTTTCTGACGCATTGAATGTTCTTTCTGAGTCTTGATGCGGTTTTTTACAGGATAGATTACCTATGCATTCATTTCAGATTCTAAAGAATGCGATATAGCCGAAACCTCAGTCAATAAAGAAGTTACTAATCCCGGTGTGCAGCTCAAGCGGCCTCTCCGTATAGCTAAAAACGGGGTTTTTTAGAATTCACTTTTTGGATTCCTTATCTAGCAGCGCCGTGAAAAGGCCTGGATAAGGCCGGAACGCCAAAAACATGGAAGTCGAGATTTTGAGCGGACACGCCTTTGCAATGCAGGGTCCTTTCACTGTCTTGACATCCCAGCACCGTATGTGTCAAAGCGATCACGATTAGACGGTTGAGTTGTCATAGAGATGTGTTGGAATGTTTTCTCGTCTCTGCACAAACACTTTGTTGTAAGAAAATGATCACGTTAACTCAGCTGTGTCAATTGCAAACATTTGTGCAGTCGTGCTGGGTGTAAATGCGCTCCAGCGGCATTGCACTGGACATTTTGAAATTGTGTTCAATTTACATAGTCGGCCTCCACTGAGCTTCAATGTTTGCATCATTTCAATACATGTGAGTTCTTTATGCTTCTTTTCTGCTTAGATGGTTTCGTATTCCTATCTGGTGATTTGATTAACGTAAACTTCGATACGAGCAGATATTCCATGCACTGTTTATCTATTTGGATTGCACTCTGTTATTTTGACTGTTTTGGTGCCAACATAATGAAAAGTAAATAACAGATTGAAATCCATCCTTCTGCCTAATTCCGCATTGATCCCGTGCTTCCCATTACACCTTCGTCTTAGAAAACTGATGTTTGCTCAAGTTTTTTTTAGCTATGTCTAAAAAAAGTTCAGTCTCGTTTCTTTTTCTCACGTTGGCTTCAATAGAACGATGACGTAGTCACGTCAATTGTCCCGAAACTGAACGTTCAAACAACGCTGTTCGCATTGACTTCTTGAGTCGTAGTTCTTTGTTCTGTCATATTTTAACCAACGTGAAGCCACATATCTTCTTGCTCGTTCTCTTCACTATCATGTTCCTGAAGAGCGCCCTTTGCATTTTGTTTCAACAAACTTTGATAGAGATTACGAAGTATCCTGTGTGCCTCGGAAAAGTTCCCATATGAACCAGTGTGCGTATCGTCCCTTCCATATCTGCTGCTACCCTTCTGGTGTCGCGGATGTGCCACGTGTGACTAATAGGGATCGGCCATACTATTCCTGCTATTCCTACGATTCCTGCGATTCCTGTGAGTCCCGCACAGTTTAGACGCCGCTTAAATGAGCGCGTGTTGCGTAAAACAACACGTAACACGCAACACGCGCTCATTTAAGCGGCGTATAAACTGTGCGGGACTCACAGGAATCGCAGGAGTCGTAGGAATAGCAGGAATAGTATGGCCGATCCCATACGTTGGCAACGTTGGCAGCAACACCTTGGCAACATGCAGCAACATGTTGGCGTGGCCATGTTCTGCCAACATGTTGTGCCATGTTGCAAACATGTTATTGCCAGGCTGCCAACATGTTAGCCACACATGGCGGGTTGAGACGCAGACCAAGGGTAGCAGCAATTGTGGAGGGGACGATACGTGGTGCGACGCTGCCTTTTGCTCTTTTTGACACGTTTCTCCTGAGATTTAACGGAACTGCCTGAGGTTAACACCTTCAAAAGAGCGAAAGGCAGCGAGATGACGTGGTATTGTCCCTTCCACAGTTGCTGCTACCCTTGGTTTGCGTCTCAGACCTGCCACGTGTAGCTAACATGTTGGCAACGTGGCAACAACATGTTTGCAACATGCCACAACATGTTGGCAGGACATTTTGGCCACGCCAACATGTTGCTGCATGTTGCAAACATGTTGTTGCCACGTTGCCAACATGTGTGCCACACGTGGCAGGTGTGAGATGCAGACAAAGGGTAGCAGCAACTGTGGAGGGACGATATCTATGGAAATCTTGCTGGGGAACAAACGATAGAGATTTTAACATTACTATCTATTCACGATTACTCGTCAATTTGAGGTATTCTTTATTGGTAGGACTGGATGCTGGCTTATCATTTTTTGGCATTTGAGTGATCGCAGGAATAGGCGAGGTTTTCTGCTTCTACAAAGGTTATCCCTCGACAGTGTCCCGAATGGGTGCTAAATTTTAATTTTATTCTATGAATTTCAGCTCAAATTTTCCAATTTTCTGGATTAAAGTTTTTTTGGACTGTAAAGTTGGGAATGCTCGGCGCAACGAAAAAAGAAAAAGAAGCTTTATGAAAGACTTATTCTCTAATAGCTTGCTGACGGAGCGCTTTCGATACCGTTCGGCCCGCACGCATTCACCGTTCGGCCCGCGCGCATTCACTTCGGCCCGCGCACACTACAAAGCGCCGCACGGGGAGCGCGCCGCACGCACAGAATGTCAGAGCATTACGTCCATAGCGTGTGAGAATTGGAGGCGCGCGGATGGCACGGTAAAAATATAGTGCGCGCGGGCCGCACGGTACCTGAACTTGCCCGTAAATCTAGGCGCGTGGGCCGCACGCACCGAATATCAGAGTAGCAATATTTGGCATATTGGCCTTAGTAGGTACGATTTGGTTCTCAGCAAATCATCCATCCTTATATGCACATGCCAGACTGAGACACTTAATCCGCTTGATCCACCTGGTCCACTTCGTTATTGGTCAATTCAGTGAACTGACCAATAGCGAAGTGGTTGTCCGCTTGATCCGCTTGATCCAGTTCACTGTTGGTCAGTTCACTATTGTGGCCAATAGCGAAATGGATCACGCTGATCAAATATGGCGTGTGCCATACAAAACCTTTTCAAAGGCGGGTGGTGTTGCGGCCTATGCCATAGATTCCCTCTTAAACGTTTGCTTGTTGAGAGATTTGATGATCTTTGAATTTGAAATTTTTGTGCGTAATACCAAAAATTTGGGCGACCTCAGATTGAATATGCAGAGCCATGTGCTTGTCTTCCTGGAAAGCCGTGTACATCTTGGTAAATCAATGATTTTCATATGCAAGAGCCACAAAATTACTAGCGAAGCAGTGCGAGAACCTGATACAACATTTTCAAAAACGACTCGAGCAGTGTACAGTCGAGTAGATTTTCCGCTCAATATAGTGTGCTTGCACTGAAGTTGAAATGCGGTAACATTCGCGCGTGAGCAAGTAGTCACGCCAATAATGCCAACAGTAATGCCAACATTTTGCGCGCGCAAATGGCCGGCGTCACAGGCGTAGCTATTTCTTTACGCGCAAATTTTACCGCACTTCACCTTCAGTGCAAACACACTATATTGAGCGGGAAATCTACTCGACTGTACCAGCTGGTTTTGCGTTGTTTGCGTTGGTAACAACTGCTTATGATTACATGAAAGAATTTCATCGGTATCCTCGAAATTTTCATGATAACCATCCTGGGTAGTATACTTGGGTCCGAATCGAATAGAAATTCGATCATTCGAATAAAACATTCGAATATATTCGTATTCGAAATTCGATATTCGGAGTTCTTCCATTTTCGAATGATATTCGAAACTCGAATAATTGAGAAAACGAGATTTCGAATAAAATTCGAAACTCGAATAATCAAAAAACAGGGTTTCGAATAAAATTCGAAAACTCGAATAATCAAAAAACGAGGTTTCGAATAGATTTTATTCGAATGTTTATTCGAATTCGTTTTCGAATGTACTCCGTATTCAGATTATTCGACTTTGTTGCAGAGTTAACTGCTGAGTATCAAGCTCACTTCGTCGGCGTTTTTTTTCGCAAAACTCGGTAATGCATCTTTTGCAACCGGTATACCTTTAAACTGTATGGAGAGTCGCATTCTTCCGACTGCTTGCGACAGTAAAAAAAATCATATGTGGATTTTAATTGATGTTTTTTCGATCAATGAGATTGTTCGCACTGCTAATGGCACCAAATCAGCAAAGAAGATATTAATTCAAGCTCATGTTCTGAGTTCATACTGAATTGAAATGGCTGTTCTTCTTTTTTGCATTGCTCATGCTTGCGGTACGCAAAGCCCACACTAGTGAGCACTCTTGATCGCATAAATTATTGCAAAACTGCCTATTCGTTAGCTTGGAGTTTTTTGCGAATTGGTGTATATTGAGTAAAGGACATCGCAGTTGTAGTGCAGGATTAGACGGTTTAGATCGCCGTACGCGATTTGCCAGTTACGAGATGTCTTCAAATGTAACGCCAGCTTACCACAAATGTTTAGCGTGTACAACTTACTAAAAAGAAAAAATGCCCTGCATTCTGTACTTTCAGAATAGGTTTTGGACAATTTGAGTATTGCCATACCACGTCGCCACTGAAATGCCTGCAGTATGCCCGGGGTTATAGGGGCATTCGTGCTCGCTTCGCGGAGGAAACCGCATGCCTTCGTCCACGACTAGCTTATACCACACAAGACGAAAGTCCCCGATGAACAGGCAATGTATCGTAGCATTTGTGGCATTTAAGTGGCACATATGGGCCACCGTTGTTGTGGAGCTGGGAGTTGGTACGAGGGGGTAAGTGAGGGTGGATATGGATAAAAATTTACTTTATCGATTTCATCGATTTTTGGAGATGTCTTAGCTGCGAGGCTGGAATTTGGTACCTGCGAGGCTGGAAGTTGGTACAAGTGGGTAAGTGAGGGTGCTGATTATGGATAAAAATTTACCTTTATCGATTTTATCGATTTTTGGAAAATCTTAAGCTACGAGGTTGGGAATTGGTACAAGGGAGTAAGTGAGGGTGCTGATTAAGGATAAAAATTTACTTTATCGGTTTTATCGATTTTTCGAAAATCTTGAGCTACGAGTTTGGGAGTTGGTACAAAGGGGTAAGTGAGGGTGCTGATTGAAACAGAAATCTATTTTATTGATTTCAGCAATTTTTGGAAAATTTTGAGCTAGGAGTTGGTATAGGGGATACTGGGCTGATTATGATTGGATCGGCTATAGCCAGATATGTCAACAAGTTTTGTGATTGCTTTAGTTATTCGATGAATCATTCGAATATTTATTCGAAATTCGACTTCCAATGTTCGAATATATTCGATATTCATTCATTCGATATTTTTGATTTTCCGAATTTATTCATTCATTCATTCGATATTTTTGATTTTTCGAATTTATTCGAAATTCATTCATTCGATATTTTTGATTTTCCGAATTTATTCGATATTCGTTTATTCGAAATTTTTCCTTTTCGAATCTATTCGATATTCATTCATTCGATGAAAAATTATCGAATTACCCAAGTATACTGGGTAGCCATCATTTCGTTTACTGCGCTCGGTGTGGATTTTTCTGCGCAGTCAAATCGGCATCCTTTCAGGAACTCCATTTTGCGTATGAGAAACAAGTGAGGAGTGAAGGGATTGAGAATCATATCCAGGATGCCCGATCCGAATGGGACACGTGCTATAGTTGCGACCGGTGCTATTCTTGGTGGCACTGTGCTCGCAGCCTTTCTTTACTATCAAGCAACAAAGCCGAGAAAACGACAAGGTGCGTTCATTCGACTCCGTGTTTCTTGTTCTTTTTTGATCGAGTTTTGTGGGCGTAGAGGCTTTTTGATTCTTCTCTTATCTGCATTTTTTGTCTCTAACGGCCTTCCTTTTGATACGATATTGTTTTTTGGAGGATGGCTACGGTTCGCAATCTGCTGTACACAGCGGTCACACCGTTTAATGCCTAATCTGCGGCTGATACGTGACACGCGGAAACCAGGGAGTGTGGTTTTTGGCACATAAATATCTTGATGGGTCAATCTTGGATGTTTGCATCTCTCTTTGCATTGGTCTTTTTGGATGGAAATACTAGCCGAAATGGTGCATGCATATCTTTAGGAAGCGATTCAATCAAAGCGATCTAGCATTTGCTGATTTGTGTTAGTCACTGCAGCATTTTCTGGAATGTCCAAGGTTTTCCCTGCCATTCGATCCATTTCCCCTCGCTTTCTCAATCTTCCTTTCTCCTTCCGAGGATTTCAGTTTCATGCTAACAATCAGACCATAATTCAGTCTCGGGCTGTAGGAGTGAGAGCAGCTTCAGACAGAGAAAATGCATCCATTGTGACACTTAAGCTTCCCACAGTGGTCTCATTCTAGATGGCTTATTTGCTTCCTGCTAAGCAAAGCGTTGTTTCACTCTTCGTAGAATAAAAGTGCATAGTCTTCTGTCACTGTTGTCCTCATTTCAACAGCTTCGTTGATTCTTCTTGTTGTGCTGCTTCAGTTCACCCTGTGTGAATCAGGTGCATGTTCCATACAACACTGCTGCAATATACTTGACCAAAGAAAACAGTCCTGATCAGGTTTATCTTTTTTGTGTGCAAGGAACGGGTCTTTGAGATCGTCTGTGGTGAATGTGGAACACCAGCGCTGTTCCATCATCACTTGCTTTTGCTTGCCCCACTTTTGCAGCCATTCACAAAGTTTTTCTTCTTTTTGACTGATATGAAGGCTTTTGCAGAATTCTTTTGATCTGTGTTTTAGCGCTTTACCAATTAATCACTGTTTTGCTTTGGTTTGTTATTATAGTAATGACTTTGTAAGAAAGGTTTCATTCTTCTAGCATAAGCAGCCTTTTGTGTCGCGCGAACCGATTTCCTAGATGTGACCAGGTCCATCATTAGGTACGATAAAACCTACCTCTAGCACTAGCACCGCAGCTGCCCATGCATCGTTCGATTCATTATATTAGTTGGTTTCTTTTGCGGACATTTTGAAATGTTTTGAAAAGGATACCACCTAATATCCTGATCTCATGGTTGAAGCGTGAATCACTACAGTGATTCTTGTGCAAAGGTTAGCTTTGGAAACGCTAATTAGGTGCTAGGAGTCCCTCTATCAAGAAAGTCTTCTTATAGCGGGACTCCTAGCACCTAATTGGGCTTTCGAAATCTAGGCCTATGAGGTGTGTAGTTCTCTGCCGAATAATTGGTACCCATAGAACTTCTCGATTACGGTCCTAAGCTATGACACAATAATGTGAGCGGCTTTCCCACCCACTCTTCTTAACGAACACCTTAGTTTTCCGCTGGCCACCAAGTATAATTCGAAGCTCATATTCAAGTTTTACATAATATCATAACTATTTACTGCTGTTTGTTTCATTTCTCAGCGGACTTCTGGTGTCTGTTACAGTCACCTCTCTGTTTCATTGCCAACATATTGAGTAAGGGAGAAATTTCTGGATGACATCATTTGCGAGGATGCGAGCAGCCATAGAATGCAGTCGATTGTTCTCTCAATGGACCAGGTTCTTTTTTATGGAGGTCTTTCATCGATCTGACGCGCAGTCACAGAGGCAATACAAGCGGAGACGGCGGAGAAGCGTCGTTGTTATTCTCTATTGCATAAGGCCATAATACCTTCTGTAGGCATTTCCCTGCCTATCTTTACTGTTTTTTATGGTTATATTTGATGGCAGGGCGCACAAAATGGTGTATGCTAACCATAATCGCTCTGGTACTTTCACAAGAAAACGAGGTTGCACCGTCGGTTCGCGAATTGTCCTTGATTTTCGCAGCAATTATCGCTCGTCTATTCACATCTAACCCCAGTTTTATTGGGATTTCTGCGGTGTGCAGAAGCAATCAAATGTCATAAACCCCTTCCATCGATTCGGTTTCAATGTTAGAATGCTTCATCTGCCGGTTTTCTTTTCTCACTGACATCTTTACAGGATCAAAACCTGCTGGTGTTCCTGGTCTGCGGAATCTGGGCAACACTTGCTATGCAAATGCACTTCTTCAAGGCATATCAAGGTAAGCAAGGCCAAACAACTTCCCACTTTTTTTCTTGGAATTCAGTGTGATACCATATAATTCTTAGTCATTCATTCTTCTAGCCTACCCTCTATGGTGCGATGGTTGAAGGAAATCGACACTTCTACAAGCGAGCTGAAGTGTGGGTTTTTGGACGAGCTGAAGGAGGTCGTATTGAGTGAGTCTAGTCTCATTTTACATAGCTTGGAAATTAAATTATCAGAAGGTTAGGCGTGAATGTAAGCGGAATCTCGTGTTAGTAGGCAAATATATTGAACCGAAAAGTCCTCAAATACCCTTCAGGGGCCAACTTTGCCTTCTTCAGTTTGATGAAGGTTTGTGACGGTTTGTACGGCGGTACTAAGTTATTCAGCCTTCTCTCGTTTACTTGAGGGATACGTATCATATCTCAAATTGTAATGATTTGAACTGTTCTAGTTCCTCTCCTTGGTTTAAAAATGAAGCTGTGGGAGCGCGTCGTCCCAGATCTTTTTTATCTCCGCCACAAATATAGGGCCATTCTTTCCTATTCAACATGACCATAAGATAGTCAGATTTCACGAGTTATTGCTAGTTTTTGCTTTTTTATAGAGCTCAACGATGGTTCCACGGAGCTTTACGATGTTGGTGGCGTTATGGCAGCACTTGCGAAGCACAAATGGAATATCACATTGGGTAAGTCATCCAAATACCTCTTATCAGACTTGATCATGCACTCCAATCCCATCAATTTGTTTTTTTTTCTTGATCCGTTTCGTATCTATTGTTGTAGGTGTTGAGCATGATCTTCACGAATTACTCAATGTTTTCGCAACTACATGGGAAGAAGAATTACAAGCAACAAAGAGGAGATTACTTTCGTCCTCGCTATGGCAGTTCAATGAGGTTTTTTTATGCATTTCGCCTATGGTTTGAAATTGTTGCGGTGAGGCAAAAGTTCGCGGACTATGACCTATGACGAAATGTTAAAACACAGTTTTGTAACTGCTGCAAAGTCACAACATTTGTGAAGCCGTTTCTTCATACCATAGCGGAAATAGCAGTAATATGAACCAAACGCATAAGTCACATATTGCCGAACAGATTGAGGGCATCCGTCAAGATTCTTCTCCGGGGTGAATGCAGATCAGGGCCGTTTTTCCTAGACGCGTCGGCAGGCGACAACTTTTTAGCGCCACCGTCTTTCTCGCCAGTTTTACCCGACGCGAGACGAAACACTGTGCTTGCATGAAGGCGCAGCGTTTTCGAACACTGTGATGAGATATGAGTCATACGGGAATTGCTAAGATATCGAATTGCAGCTTGGAAGCGCATGCAGGGCAGTTTGTAATTTTGATGAGATGTTGAAAGGACCATGATCGGGGTCGGGGTGCCTTGGGCTAACGGCGCGTCAACACTTGCAAGATTTTCAAGGGCGAATGGTGGTGGTATGCCTTGGGGTGTTCTTGAATGGGAAGATGTGCAAGTAATGTCGAGAGGGCAAATGTTGTAGAGTTGAAGAAATTAGCGCATCATGATAAAGGAGTTTATTTGCCGTCTTGCAAACTTTACTTTCACTGGTTACTGCATGCCCTTGTAGGGCTGATGACGCGATAAAGGCTGGCAAAGAAAGACTGATTAGAGTTGTCATATGGCAAAGGAGTTTGTAGACCCTAGACTATAGGGGATAATTTATAACAACTGAAATGATCTCTTTGAGAGAGCAGTTTATTTTTACGTTAGTTTCAAATACCCCTTAGAGCTGTATTGTGGCAGAGAACAAGCGTCTTGAATTTCGTAATTCCCTACTTTATAAAAGAAGCGCGCATGAAATGCGATCTCTCGCTCCCAGTGATTAAAATGTTTATGAATCCAGTAATTGTTCCTATTTTTTAGACAAATGATTCATCATCATCACAAGCCGCAGCCCCGTCTTACGGAGACGCGCCATGCTCTCCAGCGAGCAGAAAAGAACTTGTTTTCAAGAGGTGGGTGTATGATACCGCTCTTCAAGTTTTTGGACGAGTTGATATCGTTTTCTGTATTGAGATGTGCCGATATTGTGCGAGTGGAAGCGAAGTTGCGAGCACCGTGTTTTGGACTTACAGCTACAGAGTTGCGATGCTGTCAGACAAATTGCGGGTTCAAGGTAAGAGTTGGTTCTTGCGTTGTGTCTTGAACGTGAGAAGTCGTTGCTGATGGGATTGGGGAAGAAGTTTAGTTAGAGTAGCTAGAGTAGCTCCAGAAGGCTCTAGCAGCCTTTTCCAGATTTTTTATTCGAGGTTATCCCATCTGGACACAGTTTTTTTTATTGATTAGAATGTTGTCCTCGCGTAGTCTACTTCGAATACTTACAGAAAGTGCGATACGACACATTTGGAGTGATTTCTTTGACAATACCGAAGATGTTTATGGGCATTGTGAGTTTTCCGGTATTATTACTATCAACCTACTCTTGAGCTGCATTGGCACAGCCATCATTGGAGAAAAGCCATTCTTGAAATTTCAGCCGGTAACTATCGAGGCACTGCTAAGAAAGTACTTTTGCATGGAAGTGATTCGAGGAGCCACATGTGATCGCTGTAAAACGCGAAATGGTAAGCGTGATAGCGGCCTCTTCAAAAAGCAAGGCTTCAGCAAGGTGAGTACACACAAAAACTGGGAAAATTTGTTTATTCTCTCTTAAAATAACCTATTTACACACAAAATGAGTTTCGAGTGTGACGCTTAACGGCGTCGACAGCACTGGGTGTTATTAGCGCATGGTGCGTATCCAGTTTGGCACTGGCATGATGATATATTGGTCGTTGATTGTTGGCAGGAGACAACGATGGGTTGAGCAGCGGCAGCTTGACACGAGTTGCTGCAACTTTGGACACATGCTGGTTGGCAAGATGCTACGGGTTGGCTCTGTTGGGTGCATTGAGAGACACAGCTGGACTCGCATTGGGGTTGGCATTGTGGTGACTGGGCAATGCTTTGCTGGAGAACAATCTGGATCACCTGGGGTTGCTGCTGGTCGGAGCAAGCAGCTTGACATTGCTGGCACTGTGCGGGTGGTTGGCTGGGAGAGCACTGAGGTTGGCATTGCTGGGCACAGCTGGATTGTTGCATCTGTGGCAGCATTTGTACTGGCTGCAATTGTTGCACTGGTTGCAGTTGCTGCACTGGCTGTTGCGCGGCAATGCACATGTTGTCACATGCAGGCATGCATGCTGGTGCGCATTGTGCTTGAACTTGTGGTTGAGCCATCTGTGAGCCACAGCTTTGTGAGCATTGGGCGCTGCAGTTATCCAGGCATTGAGCGACGGGCTGCTGCTGCTGTTGTTGCTGGCACGATGGTTGGCACTGAGACTGACATTGTGGCATGCAGCCCATATCACGTTGTGGAGCCATGGTCGACTGGATTGGGTAGCTGGGCTGGATGGGTTGATACTGCTCGATGCAGGTTGGCTGACAGGCTGGCTGGCAAGCTTGGACGCATTGGTTGCTGCCGTAGGGGTCGTAGTTATTATTGTTGTAGTTGTCGTAGGTGACTGGGGGAAGTGGGCCAGGCATGGCGCAAGAGCTGTCGCATTGAGACTGGCACTGATCAGCGCATTGAGGTGCGGGCACCTGCTGGGCCATGCACGACTGCTGGCATTGCTGCTGGCAAGCTGGCTGGCATTGTGGGCTTTGCTGGAACTGTTGCTGCTGAGAGACTGGCAGGGTGATCTGGAGTGTCACTACTTGCTGATCTTGTGGCTGTTGCTGTTGTCCGCATACGTTGTCGCACTGGGATTGGCATTGAGGAGCGCACTGAGCGGATGGCACTTGCTGGGCGGCACAAGACTGCTGGCACTGTTGCTGGCAAGCTGGCTGGCATTGGCTAATCGGTGCGGATTGGGTGTACGATGGAGAGCATGAAGCTTGGCATGAAGATTGGCAGTTGGATTGGCAGTCATATGCAGCAGTCGGTGCAGAACACTGCTGCGAACAGCTCTGCTGGCAGGCCGGCTGACACTGAGTGGTGGCGAATTGGAGCTGAATCTGCTGCTGCTGTGGCTGCTGCTGCTGAGCGCATCCACATGATTGAGTCTGCTGAGCTTGGACGTATACGGGTTGATTCTGACAAGAGCAAGACATCTGCTGCGATGAAGCTGGTGCACACATGCATTGTGCTTGGATTTGAGCTGCGCAGCCACACTGACGCTTTTCGCGAAGGACGCTTCCCTGAAATGGATACGTCGTTGAAATGTTTGGGCAAGAAGGAGTGCAGTCCTTTTCATTCATTGAGATGGAGCAGGCTGGATGCGGTATCTAGGGAATTTCGCTCTATGGTTTGCGTCGCCTTGGAGAATTTCGTGCACTACCGCAGCCGGCCTGCTCCAATTCAGTTTAAGGTTGTCTACCCAACTAATGAATCAAGGACAACTGTTACTGAATATCGCAGGGTTACAGTCTCGTGTATAGCAAAAGTGATATGTGGTAAAGTTTCTGTCATCAAATCTAAACCGAGCAAATTCTATTTTCAAACTTGATAGTGTGCATCATTTTCTCATACAAACTTGATTACTCGAAAGAATTGCAAAATCGAATTTTTTTTATAAAAAAAATGGAATATTCTTTAAGGAAAATGAGTTGAAGAGATAACGGATGATACTTATTAATGAAGTTACACTACTATAGTGGGAAGCAACCGAAATATCTTTACATATGAAAAATGATATTTACAAATGAAATCTAGAAGTGAAACGTACTGCAGTAAGCAGGAATGTAGTGGCGAAACAGATTGCAACAGTGCGAAGATGCATCTTGCTTTGTGCTGTGATGCTGGATAGGGTCGAAGGATGCTGTTAGGACTTATGCAGCGTGCATATATACCATCCGGAAGGAAGGGGCGGTGACTCAGATTACGGACCGGAATTTCTGTTAGGATGGGTAAAACCGGCGAGATCATCGAGATGAGTGAACGAATCCGTCTCGCCGTGCCGCGCATCGCCGTCGGCGCTACTCCGCATAGCGCACTCTATTTGCCACTATCGACGACGGCATTGCGCGTGTGCGTATATGTTTGCCGAATTCATAGGGCACCAGTTCAGGCCACGTCGGTGTCAAACATTGTTTGGATGGGATTTGCGCGGTTGCATTCTGCTAGATCCGGGTCGGTAGGCCGGGTTTGCTAAGCTGTGTGACTTGCAGCTCTCTGTATCACCGAAATGCTGATGGTGATTCTTATCAGACAACAAAATAAATGAAGGTTAACGAGTCTATCTGTCAGGAGTCAAGTTCGCTCCAAAATCATCTGATGTTTCTGAGCTTAGAATGGTGAAAAAAACAGTTAGTTACAACAATAAGAAGTCATTGATGTTGAAAGCCAATGTCTACCGAGCACAGTTGGTAAAATTGGAATACCGCTAAGCTGGGAGTGAAAACAAGTCTCTTCAAGACGCAGTGTCATCATAAATCTTACTGTCGATAAAGAGATAAAGATCCAAGAGATATGTCCAGCGGTAAACACTTACCGGTGGATTTGATTTGTGTACCGGCATTTGTTTACATTGGCTACTTTATTTGATTCACTGCCTTTGATCGAAATGTGGATCAAGAAGCGCTCTTTTCAAAAGGGTCACGAAGTCGAAGTGGCCCATACCATAATATGCATACCGCTACAAAGAGCTTAGAGTGCTGATATCAAACATACCTTCCGTATCTACAAAACGCCTCTGAGAAGAAAGTTGTAGGCCTTTATCATATCATTGATGCCTAGTTTTGAGTGACAACAAATTATGGATATCGTTCAAATTACTCCTTGCGCGACACGTAACACTCAAAAGGGTCAGCATCATTTTGGGCATGGATACGCTAATCTAAGTAGGTCTGAGTTCAACGGGCGTCGATGATTTTGGCTTTCTCAGCTATTCCATAACTTCCTTCTCAGAAGCATTCACAGAAATGGAAGGCAAATTTGAGATCAGCCAAGCTATTATGTTTTTGAAGATATGCATTTGTAGTGGTCGGCCACTTCGCATCGACCCTTCCTTGTCAGAATGATTTGAGGCACAATGAATGCGAATGTAGTTAGTTTTTGGTCGTGAAATTCTAGTAGCATTAATATGTATGCATCGTATCTCACAAAACGCCTTATCAGGGCCGGGCATACTTCAAGCGATTTCAGTTGCGACGCGCTTTGGCAATATTCCAGTGTCCATAACTCATTGTAAGCACATTATAAATGTACAGAAGATAGGGCATTTCATCAGTTTACGTAAGTTATACACACTATGCATGTGCAGTTTGCTAATGTTGGATCCGAAGACTTCTGGCGAATTGCCAAATCGCGTCGCGACTGAAATCGCGTGAAGTATGCCTGGCCCTTTTCTCGTCAGATCTGCACTGATGACATTTGTATTATTTGTATTTGATGTCATGCTAACCACTGCAGGCGAATGAAGGAGATTTGAATTCAAATTGAGCATGTCGTCAGATTTCCTGAGCTTTTGTGTTGTTTTGCTTGGAGATAAGAAAGATTCAAATAATTGTGCTAAAATCTCTTACATGTGAGTGTTTTCTAGTCAATGGTACGGTACTTTGAAACAGTGATTTCACTACGTTCCATGTCATCGCTCACTGCTCATCTTCTGTCGGTATTTTTTTTTCTGTTCTAAAGGGGATATTTTTTGTGATCAGTATAGCTGGAGTAGTTATTCATTCATAAGTTGAGTCAAATTTTTTTTACAATATTTTATCGTTCTGTAAGTCACAGTAAAGTTTGCCTTTCCTCTGGCAGTATTCATAGAGAAATATCCTATTAATTTGTCCCTGTTGTGAGCTTCTGCGAACTTTGATAGTAGTCTGAATAGATCTTTGATCAACTAAACTGATGTACAACCAAGGAAGTTTCGTGAGAGAAACGCGTAATTATATATTGTGGTAAGAAAAGTCTCGGCTGTAATTATGTAACCTTTTTCTGGTCACTCGTAGAGCTATATATTGTGCAGAATTACATGTATTGCACCTGCGCGGAAGCGTTACGTCACCGTTCGTGCTGTGCTCGGCAAAGATCATTAACCACACCGAGAGCTGGTTATTGGGGTTGTTTCCGCGAACACTTGCGCCGCTTCTCGCGGCTTCCGGAGTTTCTTCGAGAGGTGCTTCAGTTTTAGCTCTTCGGCTTATACAATGCATTTTCCCGAGAAACATGGCGCCGCTCTGTCTATATTTGAATGACAGAAGATGTGCTTTCTGTCGGTTTTCGTCCGAACATTATACTACAATCGTATCTAAGTCTTACTGAAACTGAAGAGAAATCTGGGAGCATGTTTGACAAATCTCCATTACTGACGAGGGAAGGATGATTGGTCGAGGGTGGCCTTTGGGGGGTTGCATACCATGTAGGAGGGCAAAACGCTGGTTCCAAATCTGTCTTTATTATCTGCGGCGCATTCCTACGCGAGATGTTATGAGCATTTATCAAAGAAAAAGCTTAATGTACAATTAATATAAGAACAGTAGTAACATTTTTACTAGCGCTTAAATGGACCAGTGGTAATCTTTCCAACACTCCATAAAATAACTGCCGTTAGATGAGATATATCCGCTTCGGCTGTCTCATAGTGCTGGAAAAATTTTCGCAACTGTTTTTATCCCAGAAAAACATTCATTTTTTGCTTATTCTAACGCTCATAACTCCTCGTCCAGAAACGCTCCGCAGATAAGGAGGACAGACCTGGAATCAGCATTTTACGCCCTCCACCACGGTACGCAAGTCACACAAAGAACCACTTCGACTGAACATCCTTCCCTTGTGAGTTCTAGACTCAAAACATTGTGATGCAAGAGGATGCTAAACGACAGGTCGAAAAATCCCGGGGCGCGTTTTCCTGTGCTTTCTGAACAAGTACCGGAAGACTTCCTTTTTTTGAAACGTAAAAAAAATAATTTTTTAGAGGAAAATTTCAATGGGTAGCAATAGCTCGGTCTTTGTTTGCTTTGCACCGAGTTTAGCGTGTTTGCTTGGCCAAAAGACTGCATTAAGGCAATTTTGCGCAGGGTTTTGCTATGCTAGTGTTCCCAGCTGTTCTCGATTCCAAATGGTAACTGAGCTAGATTTAATTTGTTGCCATGATATTGTAGCCAGAACTTCGGTCTATGCGTCTTATTTGATAAAGGGTAAAATAGGCGCATGAAATCCGTTTTCGATATTTTCTTTCCCGAGGTACCAATTTCAGCGCCTTCGATTAATTTTCAAGAATTGAGCAATAAAATATATCTGTTTTCTTGCAGCGCCTTCATCAAAGCAGCTACACATGACAAGCTGAAATTGAAGATTCTTCACAGCGTGCTAGAATGTTTGCCAACAATCTAGGCAAAGCATCATGGGTGACACATTTGTAAGTCATCATGACTGAGTGTTTTCATTGGAGGGGGGGGGCACTTTGCTTGAGTTTTTTTTCAAAAGCTCCACCTACCTTTTTCAAGCTAAAGATGATATGCTCCAGGAAAGATTATAGCATGAATCTTGTTTACAAAGCGGAAGCTTTTGCTGAAGACCATTTTGAGTCACTTCGTTCTTGGAGTTCACCAGCATTATCTCGAGAAACTTGAGACCTTCCCCCTCCCCGTGCTTGCGCCACTTTGCATTAGATGTCAAGTTTTTGGTGCACCCAGAATGTTCTAGTTTTCTGAATATTGAACGACGACAGACCTTTTTGGTGCTTCATCGAAGTAAAAAAGAAAAAGCATCTTCAGGTTATACGATTAGGGATGCGTTGCGGTTCAAGCGATAAAGATAAGAAAGATAACTATCATATCTGTCTTTTAATTCTTTGCGAAGAAGCTATCTCTTTCTATAGATCAAAGAACTTTTTTGCTGTAGCAAATCTCTCTCCCGTCTTTATGCGCGGACTTTTTGTAGACATTGAATCTGGTTCTTGTTGTGCTTTTCTCTGACGCACGCTTACGTGCCCACCACGTTCAAGTGTCGTTGACTCAGTGGCTGAAGTGCACTTCGAGTGCCAAAGGGTGTGTCGGGTGAAATTGAGAATGCTTTTTTTAATAATTGCTTTGCGATACGGAGATATACTCGGAAATTGGAATAGAAGCAGTTGTGTAATTACTGAGGTCAGGAAGCTTGAGAATTTCCGGCTCCTAGTGTTTTCAGGATTCTTATGAAGTCATTTTATCCTTATATACCTTTTAATAATTTGGAGTTAAGATTTATCGATCAGAGATCGACCGATGATGAGAACTGAATTTGACAAATCTAAGCATTAAAAAAAATACGCGCAAATTTTTCGCATCTTTTCTTTTTTGCATATGTCACTTCTGCTCCGGGTCTCATCAGTGGACTTTTGGAAGCCATACGCAGTGTGAAATTCTGAATTGTTTGCACAGAGGCTCTGCTGCGGAAAAACCGTTGCCCTTTGACATTCTTCATATTGATCTATACTTAAGAATTGCGTTTGTTTTATCATTCCAGCGCGATTAGTCTCGCGCCCTTTGTGAGGATGGATTTCTAGGCAGCTACAAGTACAACCTCGCAATTAGGCGTGAAATTGTTCCTGAAAAAGAGCTGAGCAGAAGTTATTTAGATATGGGTGCAAGAATCTCGTAAAACGAGGTTATGTTGATCGTAGGGTCCGCCCAGGTGGACTTCTTACAAGCCATGCATATCAACGCGCTACAGCTTGTACCAGTTGCCCGCATAGGCGGACCCAACCGACGACCTAACATCCTGTCCTCAGAGGTTAAAGCATGTAACCAAACAGAACGCAACAAAAATTCGCTGAATTATTTATTCTCACTGTGGACCGTCCTTTTTGGCATACAATTTTTTTGGGCAGGTAATTTTCGTAATGCAGTTTGCTACAATTCCCTACAAAAGGTTATTTCATGAGGAGCATGTCATTTTGGGTTCCTCACTATATGGTTCTTCTGCCTTCTTGGTACTGCTCTTAGTCAACCTTGGGCAGGCGCCAAACTTGTTCGATAGTGGCTTGATCGCTTCATGGTTGATCAAGCCACTAACCGTGAGCAATCATTCCATTGTGAGCAATCATGAAGCGGATAAGCGGGTAAGTTGGCACTTGCCCCAGATCCAGGCTCTTCAATGAGTTGATAGGTGTTGTCTAAGATTTTTCGTAGCTATGGAAATTTTTCGATCCAATCCTTAGTAAATTCAAAATATCCCAAATACCTCGATTTGTTCAGTGATTCTGAAGTACATCTACCACGGTGTCCGATGAGCGCAATGTTTTGCTGCGCATCGTTTGCCTAACGCGCCAACGTGTTTGCACATCAATGCTTGAGCAAACTAATTGAAAGCCTGTAATTTTACTGTTTTTGACCGTGCAAGGCTCACATCAAATCCATTTATACTTTACATGTACGCTGAAGGTGAAATATTGTCCAAAAACATTTGCACCTACAACCTTTGCGTTCGAAACTGGAAAGAACTAAGGCATATGATTGAAAACAAAACAGGAGAACATCAACGAAAACGAAACAAAGATCTCTGATCCGTATATTTACATACACGAAATTGATGAGGTTAGATACGTATACGAAGGCAGCATCTCTTTTTCCTATAGCAGGGAACATATCCGCTCTGGCATTGACAACTGCTTGAGCCCGACTGGCAGTTGATTACCACTGGCTGAATGTTGCAAGTCTCTTCACACTTCTGCACACATGCTGGCTGACAGGATGACAATGACACATCCTGTTGAGTGCACTGACTGGTACAGCTAGATTGACATTGTGATTGGCAATTGCTGGACTGGGAAATGCTCAACTCCATTGTTACTTTCACGACTTGCGGTTGCGGTTGCGTGAGACAGGCGGACTGACATTGCTGGCATTGCATGTTCTGCTGGACACATTGCTGCTGGCACTGTCGTACACAGATGGGCTGCTGAGCCACGCAAGTCGGTTCACATGAGGGCATACAAGCCTGTGCACATTCTGTCGCTGGTGCAGGTTGCTCTGGTTCGGTAGTACATGTCTCAGAGCATTGGTCTTGACAGGTGTCAAAGCAAGGAGCAATGGCTGTATCTTGCTGAGAGACACATGACTCCTGACACTGCATCTGACATTGTGGCATGCATGGTAGTACTTCCTGGGGCGTGTTTCTTTGAATGCAGGAAGAGGAGCATGATGGCTGACAGGCTGGAATACATTGTGAGTCATAGGTGATGGGTGGAAGAATTTCGGATGAGGAGCACATGCTGGTGCACTGAGTTTGGCACTGATCTGAACAGGAGGTGGAGGACATATAGCTTGGACATCCGCTCTGACACTGTTGCAGACAAGCAGGTTGACATTGCTGAACCGTGATGACAGGAGGAGGTTGGGCGCAAGCGGAAGCGCATTGGTTTTGACACTCAGTCACACAGATAGCTGTGGGCTGATATGGAGCACAAGATTGTTGACAAGTGCTCTGGCAGGATGGTGTACACTGCAAGACGACAGGTTGAGGCGGTGGCGGAGGAGGAGGTGGAGGAGGAGCAGGAGCGCAGGAAGTCTGACAAGAGTATTGGCAGGTCTGTTGGCAAGTGCCATATGAAGAAATGGCACATTGTTGAGCACAACTTTGAGCACAAGCAGGTTGGCAATGTGAAGCACTTATGCGAATGGGACGCATCTGGGTGGATATGCATCCGCAGCTAGGATATACGGGTTGACTTTGACATGCACATTGCATTATTTGGAATTGAATTGGTTGACAGGAACAGAGAACTTGAGTTTGCATGCAGTCGCATCGCTTTCTGCGGATGATGTTAGCCTGTAACAAGCTCAATTTCAGTGCGTTAAAATGCAGAAATACCGTTTGTTCAGATGTTCTAGGGTAAATGAACGAGCGATGCGAATTTTTTGTATTAAGACTAATGGTGCCGGTGCCTGTTCTACTGTGGGTGTAATCCCATCATCAATACCTAATTTCTTATGATGCTGTGATCACTAGAAAATAGATACTGATGGTGTTTGCACTCAAATGCTGGGAGGAATGGCTATGACAATAGCGCGTAAAAAAAATCACCGCACTCCGCCGGAGTTGGCCGAAGTTGCGTCGCATCTTCATATCTTGCTTTACAGTGGACGTTCTGAATCCAGAAGCACCATTCAACTCACCTTAGGCGCGTCTTCTGATATTTAGAAGTTTCACGCTTCTTTCCAGGTATTTATTCAAGTTAGCTTACTCAGAGTGCTTGTTCACGGCACAGCGAGTAACCTATCGTAAGCAAAAATCGGATTCGTGGAATTTGACGGCTACCGTGCCTAAACAGGCACTCCTTTATATCAGAAGATGCAACCATCGAGCTGAGTTAAATGGTGCTTTGAGGTCCAGAATCCGTCCACTTTAAAAGATATGGCGCTGAGACGTAAAGTTCTGCGAACTCCGGTGGAGTGCTGTGATTCTTTTTTCACAACTCACGAGCAGTATTGTACAGTGGCGTAGTCTGTGAAATAAAATTCTGTATCGTGACTGTTCAAGACTACTTCGAGTCTTTCGAATGCTTGCGCTATGGAACCTTTCAAAATAATTGCTTTTTTAAGGAGAGAATCAAAAATATCTATCAAGATTTAGATTAGATTAGCATGAAAGGTGAGACTTCTTGGGGGGATATGTCGGCGGATAAATTTCTGACGCCCGAAGAGAAGTGGAGCAAGAAACAATTTAAGAATGACTAAAAACAAACAAGATATGCATTGCTCAAACATTTACAAGCTGCTTTTTTTACTCTAAGAAAAATCAAAATATTGTGGAATGTAGAGAATAAGTTACTCACCGATGCAGGCAAAAACCAAGGTATCAGCAAGATTTTTAGAAAAGCGTAGTTCATTTCGCTTTCGTTGATGATCTTCTTGAATGAAGTCGAACTACAAATGATTTTCGTCAACTGCGTCTATATATAATTCCGCCAGAAGAGTGGGCGTGTCTCTCTCTGTACAGTCTCGACTAGCAGGCAAAAGCTAGGCAGTTATTTGCAGTAGAGCGGGGAGTGTCCTCATTCACTTGAACGAAGTGCTGAGTAGGAATTGCTCTGTAAAGAGAGTACACCCCAGCTCACGTCATTTTTGAGGAATGTTGAGAAATGAGAATTGATTACGGTATAAGGATGGGTACTGCATGAGCTGTTCCGCTTCATGCATCCATCTTTGCGAACGACATCGCCCGTCCAATGATGCGCCACTTTTTTTTTTCGAAACTGAGGCACAAAATCGATTAAAGCCGTGCTCTGCATGCAAAATGAAAGGCAATTCAGCTTTCAGACGAGTAGTTTTCGTAATGGATGTAATCTTTCTCTCTCCCTGACTTATTGCTCTTCTCTGTCATCTGGCTTAATCGAGTTAAAGCGCTTACTGTGCCTGTATTTTTACCAGAAAAAATCAAGGTCACCATCTTCTTTCCCTCCTCTTTGGTTTGCTCGTGTTGTTCTTTCCTAAACGTAGCGATTTCGCTTGAAGTGGGAAGTCGATGATTTTGGCGGCAGGGCCCTCACGGTAGGGTTACGGTAGTCATACGGTACTCATCACAGACAACTGACCGGAAGTTCCGCTGGGCATTCAGACAAAGCACCTTCCGCAGTGGAAAGTGCTCATGTTCAATCAGTCTGACGCCGTATTCCTGCGAAATTTCCGCCCAAATTTCTGTGGTAGTAAGACTCCTCCGGAACCGCTGCGAATATTTTTTTCTCATGTGGAAGTTTCCGGGGCTGCCTGAGAAGCTTAGCGTGGTTTCACCTTCATCTGACATCTCCTACTGATGCATTTGATGTTGACATACATAGTAACCTATAGTCTATAATCACCTCAATTTCAGTTACCCCAATCGCTGATAATCCGCATCGAACGCGTCGGTGTCCTACCGTCAGGCAATGAATTCAAACTTGCTGATCATGTGGAGTTTGGTGAAACACTTGACGTCAGAGATTTGTGTTTTTATCGAAACAAAGAGGTTTGTTGATGGATCTGTTTTGCTTATTCCCAAGCATTGTGCTATGGTAAACATTAATGTCTAGATTTGGTAATTTTGAGCTCAAAAATTGGGTCAAAGTAATCGTTGTGAGAAGAAAATTTTTTTTAGATTTTCTGTTGACAGAATCCGATGTGATCTCCTATCTGTAGAGTTAGAGTAGGGTCTGTTTGAGATTAGTTCATTGTGTAAGTAAACATTGTAGAAAAATTCACCTTTGCATCCTGAGGATTTAAAACAATAGATAAGCTGGACTCTCAAGGGAGAAACATGAGCACAAGCAAATGTAAACGGAGAAATTCCATCTGAGCTAAAAGGTAACCTTACCAGAAATGGAAAAAGACGTTTTTCTAGAGTCAGTATTTCTCCTTGAACTTTCTTTGATTTTCGTGAAAATTTCATCTTGTTTCGTATCTTTTCGGAAGTATATATGTACAGTAAACTAACACTGCGAAGACTTTTTCTGCATTTTCGGTCAGAGTGAGTCAGCAATGTTTCATGAACTGCAGATACCCAAAGATTGGCCAAGCCGTAGTTTTGTGAACATTATGTTATATCGTTGAGGAAATAGTGTTTCTTGGGTTGTACCAGTCTAACGTAAGCACCACTCTAATGCAAGCACTTACATGGAACACCATTTCGTGTAAAGTCTACAAGAAGACTAGAACGAGTTATATAATTCATGCTCATAATTTCTGTGTTTGAAATATGAAGCCAAAAACCAGAAGCAGTCAGTGACGTCATCCGATTACACTACAGCCGCACCTGGAATCGAGGAGAATTAACAAAAACCTTGTTCATATCGAGTTCCAACTCTATAAACCAAAGTGGAAAGCTCTATGTAATGGAAGTCTGGAATTCTAGATACACAGTTTTTGTAGCAGTCACCGTGGAACGATCGTTTCTTTTCACTTTTATACGTGCGCTAACTACTGGACGTAGTAAATTTTGATTGCCTTCCGCATTGGCGTGAACTTTCTGGTGATAGAATCTTGGTTGCTTATAATCTTTATTCGAGTGCTACACTCGCTACGCCTGAGTCCTGTGCACAGGAAAAGAGAGGACATGCTGCGAAAATATGTTTCGTTGTTATAGACAAATTCTATAAAAATTTAAGTGTTAGTGACCATTTAAAAAATCTATAAAGGGTCAAGTACGCAGTACAGGCGTAGTTGCTCCAATTGACTCTTAAAAGCTCTAGAATCTTCAAATATAATTTTTCTCTTTAGAAATCTTTACAGCATGTGATTATTAAGTGGATGCATTTATTAATAGATAGTGCGCTTGTAATCGTTAAGGCTATTTTAGGCTGAATATGATTTGGCAATGTCACGACGTCCTGAATCAACATCGAGAATAGTAGGCGGCGCGGCTAGCAACGAACGTCAGCTGACCAGAAAAGGATCATCGAGTGGCCTTGCTGCTCCTTTTGGTATCATCGAGTGAGTTGGAATAGTTTTATTTTCGGCAAAAGAATATTGTTTTCAAGCTGTCAAAATAGTAGTCATATTAGTCATATTAATGCTTTAGCGCTACCACTAAATGAGACAAAACTCTTTGGCGTTTTTTCGAAGTCTTTTTTTTCTACAAAGACCCTTGGCAGAGCATGGATGGATCCAAAGTGTGGGCACATTTGTTTCCTACTTTGTCGCATTTACGTGAGGGTAGCCATATTAAAAATCATAAATATCTTGAGGCCCTTCTGATATTACGTTTTTTTTAAATCGTAATCTAGAATCTCACATGCTCGGCGACGTTTTTAAACAACATCGAGTAGGTTTTCGAGCACTCGGACTTTTTGCACAAGCTCAGGATAGCAGGGTCAACAAGAAGTACGGAAGAAGAAACATCTCTTTCTAGAAAAATGTCTGAGCTCTGCTCCGCATAGTGGCGCATTGGAAGCATGACTCGTAAAGAAAGGAATATAAGATTAGCTTGTGATCGAAACTGTTGTAGGCGATTTTGAGAAAAAAAGTGCCATCGATTGTACAAATACTTCCACAAATTAATAGATTCGACATTTCCTAAGTAGATTTCTAACTCTGGAATGAAAGACTGCTGTACGATGTAAGATATACAGAATATACAGAATTATTATAATATACAGAATCCTGATATGCATATATCCTGATATCCTGATATACAGAATTATTTGCTGCTGCGATTGCTCATGCCGTACGCCAGCAATATTTTCTCATATATTTGTCTTCCCTCATGTGCTAAATAATCCGCACATTTTCTAATTTTGGAGCGGTTTTGTCTGTCTAAGCGGTTTATAGCTTTAAGACCTTCGGACCTACGCCTGGGTGTAGTCCGCCTTGTACTCTGGCAGGCTGAACATATGTGAAATATATAATAGCAGTGCCTCAGGGTTTCCATTAGGGGGGGGGGGGGAGAGAGACAAAAATTTCTTCAAATTTTTTGTGGGTCCACGACCCCGAAATTTCAGAAAATGGTGGGTGGAGGCAGTCACGCTCGCTAAAAAAAATTTTTCACAAGGCAATTTCAAAATTCTCAAAATTATGCTAATTAATTAGAAGTGTAAAGAAGTCATTTGCTTTTTTTAACTCATATGAGTAACTTCAAAAAAATTCGCGTCTCATTCTCGGAGCACCCCCCCCCCCCTCCCCTCTCGCCACTGGTAAGTAGGTTTATGTTTCACGAATACTCCAAACACAGAAAATCAAATGTGTCCAGATCTTTCTCTTTGCTGCAGAGGGCAAACAAATCCTGTTCTTAGGGGCTCACATTACGGAAAGGAGTCGACGTTGAGTGTTTGTCAACATTCTTATTTTTATTCGATAGGTAACTCGCTCTGAACTTCTTAACTCTTTCAACCCAACCTGTGGTGATTGCTTCCATGGTAGGTTTTACGAAAAGCCTCTGGATAAGTCACTCCAATCACTACTCAAAGCTTTTTCTTTCTTCTTCGTATTGATTGAGATTCGTGATGATTGGCGGTATAGTGCAGCTGTGAATATGTGCACAGTTATCCGCACTGCAATTGCAAATGGGTTTCCCAGTCTAAATCGAATAAGGCGCAAGAGAATCCATAGTTCAATGTTAATGCGTTTGTATGCATCATTACGAAAGCTGAAATCTGTAACCTTGCGCTGATGCAGGCCTCTGGACACGTCCGCAAACGCGACGCAATGCCCGGGCAAGGCGGTCGCGTGAACTTGGATATAGAGCACACTCTCGTTGAGACAACCTATAGACCTGATTTTCTTGCGTTAATATGTGAACCCTTAATCTTCATGAAGCGTTCTTTCGCCAGACATTGTGACAATGCATTTGCTAAACTTCTTCGAAGTTTCCTTTTCAGTGGTGGCTCATTTGTGGCAGAACGTCGCGAGTCAGCTCGATACAAGTATCAACTACGAGCAGTCAGTGAGCACAGGGGAGTGCCTCAAAGTGGACATTTTATTACCTATCGACGTGGGATTCACGATCAGTTTACTTGGCATCTGACTAATGACGCGAAGGTTCGTTCAGATTATGTGCTTTCTGTGTATTTGCAAAACATCGCTGAATCGTAGCATAGCTTTTCGAAGCAACTTCCCAAGAGTGTTTGAGAAGAAGACCTAGAGACCATCTCAGTCAGAGTGTCAGAGCTCCAGCGGCCCGGGAGTTCGCGACCATGTTGCTCGGGCCTTGCCGCGTATGCGGACGATTCTTTGTACATTTGCCAACATTGGAGCATGATTAAAATCGGGATAAACCCTTTGATTCAAGTGACTTGGCTGCTGGAAGGAGGAGCTTTGTGACTTTAATTATGGCTAGATAATGATCACAGAGCACGCGCGAGAGAGAGACGCAGACTGCGTAGCGGGCGTTAGCGCCCTTAATTAGGTCACAAATTCCCGCCTTCCAACCGCCAACTCATTTGAATCAAAGGTTACATTTCATGACTGCACAAGGCCCAAGCGAGGCGGCTGCGAAGATTCGAACCCCTGGCGCTCTGACATTCCCATTGAGACAGCCTATAACTGTAGTTCTCAGCGTTGCAGCTATTTATGTGACTAAAACTAGCGAACTTGCTCCGCTGCAAAAGTAGCGCTTTGTGCTGTTTGCATTGGTAATTTTACAGTAGTTGTGATTTCTTTTGTGAAAAAAAACAATGGTTTCAATTTGCAGGTCGAAAGAGTCCCATACTCACAGGTGGCTGCTGCCCAAGCATATATGCTCTACTACGAAAGGATTTTACCGAATAGATGGTACAAGCAGAGCAGTGTAGTGATCAAGCCTTAACTGACAGAGTACAGTCCATGTCAACCTCGTGCTCCCTTTTCCTCCAGCCACATCGCCACCGCAGAGCTTCGCGCCGCGTTTGCGCGCGCGTAGAGCTTACGCATGCAAAATTCACCTCATCGATCGAGATCGCCGCGTTGGGCCCTGGCGGAGCGGACGCGTATGTGCTACGGAAAAGCGAGCGCTTGGTTGACATTGATTGTAGTTGAGTCGTGATAGTATTGTTGTAGTCAATATTTAGTGCCCGTGCTTTATTTATCGTTATCAAGCTTTATAGCTCCATTAGATACTCAACTACCTAGCATAGGAAAAGTCGGTCTTCTACCATAGATGTTCATGCGTCGAGATTTGCTTAGTCTGCAGTCGCATTTTCTCTTGATGTATAATTGGTGCCAAATAGCCGCATCTTTTCGTTCAATATAAACTGAGCATAACTCCCGTTTTATTGTCATGGTTGTGTCGTTTGTAAAGTGCCAGGAATGTCTACTTCTAATTTGTTATTTTTGCTCCCCTTTTTATTGCAGTGGAGCTATAATATTATATCTCATCGTTTGTATAATCTGATTAAGATGTCACCTGCATGCGGGTGTCATTGGTGCGTGTTATACTTTTCACCTTAGTCATCGAATCCAGTTGTTGTTATAGCTTTTTGATTTTTTTTTCTTCGAGCAATGCATCATCAACTACTGCCTTATAAAGCTTCAGCGCAGTTCTTATTGTAGTTCTAACAGTCTATGGTACTGATATTGGACACTGCTCGAGTGTTATGTTATCTATGCTAATCCAACTAATTGAGAATGACCGAATCGTTGCCGGACAGTGTTGATGTCATCGTTCTTGGCACTGGACTGACGGAGTCGATAATTGCGGCTGCATGCTCTCGCTCTGGTCTTAGTGTGCTTCATTTGGATAGGTAGGTACAATTTATTATTCTTAACTTGTTATCAGTATGCCCACTCAAAGGCATCGTCCACCAGATAGACTTCCGTGTTTTTGTCGTTTTGAGGCATTCTCATGTCCCTGATTCCGAATTTGAAGTCGTGAATCCGCGACAACTCCGACCACGTTGAGGAGAACCCGTAGGGCAGGTTCCCCGAACGGTGATTGGATGGGCGAGCATGGGGTTGGCATTACTGGAGGGGGCGGTGCCGCCTAGCGGTTCTCGTGACTTCGTTATTCCGAAGCGATTTTCTCGCTTTCGAAGCGACATTCTGCGCCGCGACTCAGGTGCTTGATAGAGGGTCCTGGTATCGTTCGCCGCCGATAGCTCGAGACCTTCCCCCCCCCCCCCTAACCTAGGTTTTTTCACTTTTAAACATATCTTCGTGTTGCGGCTAGTGATGCAAGCGCTTATGGATTTTTGCGCATTATTTCGTCAAATCGGGTATCGTCAAGTCGTGGACCACGGACTGGCTGTGATTGCTGAGCACCCTCCACGTGGTTAAACGTTTGTACCAATGCAAAGTGTTATTGTGCAAGCGTGCTCCAATGACATCGCAGCCGCGCTCCTGCTCGCTTGCAAACTAATCCGTCCGTGCTGTCGATGCATTGACCATAGATTTATGTTGATACTTTCTTCTTCCGCTAAATAATACGGTGAAGAGCCGTGTACGCTACTTATGGCTATGTAATACATAAAGAGTCGCAAAGTGCATTCAAGAATCACCAGATAGCGGGAAACCAAGCGGGTCCCGAAGCGAGCGCGCCTGCAACTAACACCTATGGGATTACTGGTTCACTAGTAATAAAGAGGCTTTAACTATGTCTGATTACGTATCTTTGCTTAGGAACAAATATTACGGTGGCGACTGGTCGTCCTTCAATTTGTCAACCATCAACGATTGGGTAGAACAACAAAAGGTGCTGTGAAAGAATTGAGACTAATATTCTTTGTTCTTGTATGTTGAAACTGAGTGTAAAAGCTTTTCAGAATGCATCGGAAGCTGAGCCAGACGTTTCAAAATATAGTGACAAGCTCAAAGAAGGTGAAACACTGCAAGCGCTTGGTAAGCGTAAGACAGTTCGAAATGTGATCCAGGAATGGCTGCCAGCCAGGTTTGATTTCTAGATTTCATTTAAGCTAGCATCGTTTTTGTTATATGTTTATTCTTATTCGTTCTCTTAGTGAATCAATGACCACTGTTGACAAAGGGGACACATCTGAACAGAAAACCGTCAAAGAGGCTGTGGAAGCCGAGTGGCGACGATTCAGCATTGACTTAACGCCAAAGGTTAGCCGATTTTAGTGCGGCCCTAGAATTCTGGTGCTACTGCTATAGCCATCCGAGTGCTTCAGGTTCTGTTGGCTCGTGGGTCTATGGTTCAAACGTTATGTGATTCTGAAGTCGCCAAGTATGCTGAATTCAAATGCGTAGACCGATTTCTATGCGTACGTGAGCAAGAAAATGCTGAGAAATTGGAATACAGTCGTGTTCCATGTAGTAAAGGAGATATTTTCCAGGATGATCAGTTAGGGTGACGTATTCTTTTCAAACATTTGTTCTATTAAACGATGAGAAAAAAGTCATCGTCTTACAGAGTCGTGGATAAACGCCGCCTTATGAAATTCATGACGTTCTGCCTTGAATGGAATTCGAAGCGCGAAGAAATGGAAGGATGGAAGGGTAAAATTTTTGTGAGCCTCTAGTCGAAGATGCACATTTTGAAAATTTGCAATTTGTTTAGAGTATCAAGATGAACCTTTCGATAAATTTCTGGAGTCGCAAGAAATCACTGGGGAACTCCGAAGCTACATTGCTGATGCCATAGGAATACTGCATCCCAATGCTACCACTAAGGATGTGAGTTAATCGTCACTCTCCCAACCTATCGGATCACTTAGTCAATTATTGATAGGGCCTGACAGCCGTCTGTAAATTTGTGGATTCTGTGGGACGTTTTGGCCCGTCGCCATTCCTTACTTCGCTCTATGGTAGCGGTGAGATACCACAGTGCTTCTGCAGGCTTTGTGCTGTATTTGGTGGATTGTACTGTCTTGGAAGGCCCGTGGAGGCTTTAATTCATAAAGATGGAAAGTGCGTTGGCTGGACTCTGGCTATGAAATATCGAGACCCTGACAGAACCCATTTAGAGTTGTTGGTGTGATTGCGGATGGCTTCCGGGTCAATTGTTCTCATTTGATCATGTCTTCTGAATACGTCCCATCGAGTGTGGAATCTAAAGGTCCACAAAAATGGATTGATAGAGCAGTTTATATCACAAACAGGTCGATATGGACGGAAGAAAAAGAACATGTTAGTTTTATATGAGTTTACCATTTATAAATCGGTTTGCGCATACGCTCAGTTCAGAAGCGTGGCGCCATGTAGGCTAACTTATAGGTTCTATATATAGAGTGGCCAGTAATTAAAGGCGTTAGATTACATCCGCGCGCTTCGGGACCGCACCGCGATTTCCCGCTATTTGCTGTTTGAATTGGCGTTACGATTCTTTATATATTAGATTGCGCTTGTGGTTCTTTATATATTAGATTAGATAGATATCAGATTCTTTATATATTAGATTTGTCATTTATTTGGTCTAATGGTCACTTGTCTGAACGTCATTTATCTAAGGTAACCTTGCTGAACCTCTTCCAACTAGACCCTCCATCAGCTTTACGCCTTATCGAAGAAGGGTTTGAAGTCTGTTGCGCTCCTAAAGGCTTCTGTAAGAGTGTACTGAAACTAGGATGGATTCCTTACCTTCTCACTTTTAGATCTCGTACATCTGACTGGTCGCAAGGAAGCAGAGGAATCATCAATTCCAAAAATCTGTCAACGAATCTTCGGCGAACCGGATAGTGGTGAGCCCTGCAGCTGCGGTTTTCTTTTTCTCCTTCATTCTGATGAGGTGAGTTGTAGATCGACCGTCACCATGTTGGAGCATTCGATTCGAGCTGCTGACTACAGCTGGATTAGAGTTACCTATGGACAACGCCTCTTGTGTATCAGGGCCCGATCATGCTTTGGATTATGGAAGTTCTATAGAAGAGGTAAACTTTTCTCACGAGTTTACGGAGTGGCTGCTTTTTGTCATATGGGATCCCTGAGGCACGGAGTAGACGGCACTGAACTGTCACTTGATCGCACTCTTTTTTTGGAGAATCCTTGGAAATAGCCTACACTGTCATCAGTACAGTGCTTTTGCTATCACTTGTAAATAGATAGAAAGTTCCAGAACTACTCAAATACTTAATTTAGCTTTGTAATAAAATTTTTGGGTTTTAGTGCAATGCCTTTTTTTAAACATGTTGACGATGGCACCGCCCCCTTTGGTAAACTCCGCCCACTCCTATGCCTTTCACAAGGACCCTTTTTGTGCACAAAAAACCATGGATGAACGCAATGGCCTCAAGCAACTTTGAGCCAGGCCCCGCCCCCGTTAGGAAGATAACGCTCTCTCAGTGGCAAGCTCCGCCCACTTTTCAAAAGTGGCGGAAATCGCGCAAATTTTCGAAATTTGCACAGGGGCGGAGCTTGCACATTTTGTACTTCATGCATGGATGCATGCATACAGGGCTTATCAAACGCAGTGTCGCTTGCACCAGCATCTCCGCTCCAGCGTTGGACTCTGCATCTCTTCCGTGAACATGCTCTCTGATCACTTTCCCAGGGCGAGCGTGGGAAAGGCGGAGCCTCAATCGATTGGAACTGATTAGAGAGCATGGTCGCGGAAGAGACGCAGAGTCTAGCGCGGGAGTGGAGATGCTGGTGCAAGCGACACTGCGTTTGATAAGCTCTGTACATATACTAGCCTGGCGTAGAGATGCACGGAAACGTCTCGTTCAAGGGACAGACCCCTAAAAAATGGCTTGTCGTCAACGTGTCAATATCTAGGTTTTGAGGCCACAAATGGCAAAAGCCCTAAAAAATCATGGGGAGTTTCATTGGAAACGAATTTTTGCCACGCTCTCACTAGCCCCCCACCCCCGCAAAAAAATCTCGCCGTGCCTACTTTTAGTCTTACAGACATCAACAGTTTACGACTGCATCTACATCATTTTCTATGTTGCAGGCCCAACGTATCTTCTCGATGTTCTGGCCCGATCGTGATTTCCTTCCAAGGTCACTACCCAAACCTGAAGAGGAAGAGGAAGCTACTGAAGAGCAACCAGTGGAGCAGGTCGCTTGAACCAGCACATCTTGTTTTGATCTAAGTCTCGATTTTCTGCTTGCCAAGCATTCTTTGGAAGCTTCTACGGCCGGCCTGAGGAAACATGGCTCCAATCATCCTTATCTATACGATTATTTTCCATAGCAGTCATGAACTTGTAGAATTGATGGCGATCGAATATTTTTAGCATAATCTGTTGAAACTATTGTCAATGGTCAGTGATATTTTGAAGAGCAAAGCTTCTGTTGTATGACTTTATGAACTGTTGGAGCAGCTTGTTGCTGTCGTGCGCTTTCCAAGTTTTGCTCTTCCGAAAATGGATGAGTGGGTGGGCTTCTGTTATTTATTCTGTTACGGTGCATGTGGTGGCTGAATTTCTAGTATTAATCCAAGTTTCTTGCTGCTGTCCTGTTCATGTTGCCAACTTAATGTGTTTAAATGCATTGATTGATTTTCTGTCACCAGTTGAAAGTACTTTACCAGGCTTACATTACTTCAAGCACTTCATTATTCCAAAGAGAAAATTCCATACGACTGTGTTACTTTATGATGAGACCTTTGCATCTCATTGTGCAATTTGTTGTGATCTGCTGCGAACGTTGTCCAAACATATGATCCCCCTGTGAAAACGCGGTTGTCTTCTTCGCTTAATTGCTTTGTTCCACATAAATATTTTGTACTACAGCATATTTTGAATTTTTTGTTATATACAAAATATGCGTATCGGTGTACTAGACTTTCGAAACATAGTGGCATGGGAGGTTGGACGCTATATTTGTATTATCTTAATTGCGTTTGATGTGTAAAGGCTAGTCTCGGACGAAAGGCGTTGTCCATGAAGCGATACGCGCGCGGGCGCTTTAGCTCTTATGATAAAATATTTCAAATGCCGCATTCGCATCCGCTTCGCAGCATGGATAAACCGAATTTGTCGGGGATTAGTCTTTACAAAACGATACGCTGTATAGTGCGCTTGGTAAAGTGCAGGTGAAGGCCGAGGTCATGATTTCCTCGCAAAATTTGAGGTATTCAAATGTCGTTCCTGGGAAATCTCTTTTCTCTAACCTTTTTGACGATAATTTCCGTTTCCACCTTTGACCTTGGACACTAGACCTATATAAGAGGGGAAGTATAGCAGAAATTTGAATTCGGGGAAGGTGAACAAGACAGTTACCTCAAAACATAACTGAATTTTACTGGCTGAAGTACAGCAAACCTGTCATATTAGGGGTATCTTTTAAAATATGCGCAAATGCACGGTTCTTAATGCCGCCCACCAAGCGTGAGTTTACACGATCAAGTACAACATTTCTGTTCTCTTGGGCTTCTACGAACACGGTTGTGTCAAAAGAAAAACGGGAGAACACCGCCCAAAATGAACTCCCATTTAAATTATGTGCAATTGCACTCGACCGTAACTTTAGCATGGGACAAGTTGAAGAAGTATAATCCATTCCCATTTGACCATTAAAAGGTTTATGAAAGTTCATAGTAGCTTTTAATTTTTTTTGAGTGTTGCGGTGATTTCGGGTCACTGCCTCTGTCCTTCTTATTTTCTCTTGACAGAGGAGCATAGTGCACGTGATTGTGCTACGTGCGAATGATGAACTTACAAATAGTGCAGACTTTCATGTTCTTTTCGATATAAGATGGAGGACCATTGATTAGAAAGTTTCGGCTGGAGGCGCAAACGGTGAGTCATTTTTCTTTCCAATGTTTTTTTGAAGTATACATGTGGAAGAGATTTGTTTTTGTGTGGTTAATTTTTGACATTTCAAAAGTTTTGTTAATACTTTCTTTTTCTTACTTTTTCGCCGTATTATTATCTAGTTGTGGAAAAATGAATTAACATTCTTATTGTGTATTCGTTCTTTCTTCTGTTTTGTTGCTAGATAAGAGAGCAAAGGACCCAGACAAATTTGTTAGCTTGGTGACAGCCACTCAGGAGCTGCAGTCATCACTTATTATGAAGTCATGATATTGACCAAATGATATTGATGTCATGTTTGGTGCCTACATACGTTGTGTTATAAAAGAATCTGTAACACGTTGAGGAAAGATTAGCATTCTTATCTGGTTCAACAACAAGAATGATGATGACTCAAAAATTATTACTAAGCTGAATGATGGTTTTCAACTTCAATGTTGAATTTTAAAAAAAGACGGATTTTCTGCCTTAAGCATTTTGTAGGTTCGATAAAATAGTGGGGAATTTGATTTCCAGATAAGCTCATAGATGATGATCAAAGGGCATTTCCTACTGAGCATAGCGAAGCTTCCCGCTACAACTTCGTTTAGAGTAAGTTCAGCAGAGTTTCTACTATTGTTTGATTGCAGTAAGCGAATTATCGAATATAACAGCTGACTACTTTTGAACTGTGATAATCGATGCGTGTCTGATAAGTGCTTTTGTAAAGTGACGTCATTCAGGGAGTACACTCCCGTTTGCCTGTTGCGTCTGGCACCGATTTGTCTGTATTTGGACAAGAACTGACGTTCCGTAATGGTCGTACTGCTCAGAACCGGTTCCTCAAGGTAGGAATTACCAGTTATCTTACCTAAGTATTACTTAATTTTGTTTTCCAATCTGTTGCTGTCGGTGGCGTACCCAGGATTTCGGCTGGGGGGGGGGGGAAATTCGAAAAAAATTTCGGTATGCTCCCTAAAATTTTCGCGGGCTCCGAACCTCGTAATTTCGGAAAAAGAGGGCGTGGCGTCAGCCACGCTTCGAAAAATTTTTTTATAAGGCTAGAATAGATTTCAGAAAGTTTCAAAAATTATTTTAATTATTTACAAGTGCAGACAAGTCTTTGCACAGTTTTATAACCCTAAGTAACTTTCAAAAATTTCGCGATCCGTTCTCGGGGATTGGGGGGGGGGGGGTAAATTTGCTACCGGAAAAAGAATTACGCTGTATGGATTTTAGGCTGCACTTACGGAAAGAACAGCTTCTTGGGACCGTAAAGATTATAGGAAACGAGGAATCCCTCATCAGGGTATCATCAACCTCTATGACAAATGGGGTCATGGCAAATTTGGCATGATCCTCACCGGTAATATATGTGTGGATCCTGTAAGTGATCCTAATTTTTCATTCTCTTTCATTATTTTTTAACTTGCAACCAGAATTAGCCTTAGCAATTCGATGGTAAAAGCTATGAGAAGATTTCAATTTTTCGAAACTTTTGATATTTATTTGGAGGTCCAAAAAGCAGAAATTTTTCGAAGCAAGACCTCGAGGTGATGGCCGTTGTTCATTTCAGTGGAATTTGGAATCGGCAGGAAATGTCGTTTTTAGCAAAGAAAACGACTGTCCAGAACTTCGGCAGAACTGTTTGAAATGGACTGCAGCAATGAAACAAGATGGAGCGCTAGCTATAGCACAGATCTCACATGTGAGTTGATTGGTAGCAAATATTTATGAAGACTGAAGGCGTTCAGATAAACCGGGAATATTTTAAATGGTGTTTTAGGCTGGACGTCAAACGCCCGAGCTTGTCCATGCTCATCCTTTTGCTTGCTCTGATGTGCAACTCATGGCAAAGAGACGTTTTATGGGTTTTGGGAAACCGATTCCATTGTCCTTAGACCAGATCAAAACCGAAGTTATTGATCGATTTGTATATACCGCAAACTTCGCACGTGAACATGGCAAGTTGCAACGCATTTGTTACATCTCATTCTCATATTTCTCTTCTGCTAAGTCACTTCCATTTTTTAGTGTATAGTTATTTTACATTCATTTCAATCCCAAGTTTTATAGCTGGACTCAAGCAATATTCTTCCGATCGTAATTATTTGCGCGTTTAGGTTTTGACGGGGTGGAAATCCATGCCGCCCACGGGTATCTTTTGTCTGGTTTTCTCTCACCAACCACTAATATTCGAACGGACAGATATGGAGGATCACCCCAAAGTAGGATGAAAGTGATTCTTGAGATTTATGAAGCCATCAGGTATATTTATATTAATAGCTGGTCGAATACTCCAAAATTATCAATTTCTTAGGAGAAAAATCCCTGCATCCACGGGTTTTCTGGTAGGAATAAAGACCAACTCAGTAGAGTTTCAAGAAAAAGGTCTGAGTATTGATGACGCTAAAGTGATGTGTAAGATGATGGAGGTGAGTGTAGGATTTGGAAGTGCTTTGTGCTGCAGTCGGGACACTGAGAGGTTGACCTATCACCGTATACCGTGAGTATGATAAAGGGGTCCTATCAAGCTTGATGGGTATCTTTTCCTAATCAACATGTCGAGTAACCTTTGTCGGCCAAGTTTCAGCGCATGAGGAAGTCTCCAGATATTTGGTTACTTGAGTGAAAAGGGACATTTTCAAACCTGATTATTATTTCAAAGGTGACTCAGCCATATTTTTTTCGCTTAATAGAGGGCTACTCCATGTTCATTGTCAATAAGGCTTTTCATTATCTGGCGCTTATCTAGGACGGGATTCCTTATGTAACAACAGAGTTGTGCTTTGTTTTGAGTGCAAAAGAGTTGGCCAACTCACCATTGAATAAAGTCAAACATTTTGGTGCAAGTATCGAGGAGAGCTCTTGATTAGTAGTTTATTGGCAACGACAAACATTGGCAAATCATAAATCAATCAAATCAATCAAATCAACAGTAGTTTATTGACAAACAAACATTCGGCAAACAAACAAACAAACAAACTACAAAGAAATTGCATAACACTATACCAAAAAAGTCAAACATGTTTGGAAGTGACCATTTCATTTGGGTAAGCCAGTATATGGAGACCTCAGACCTCGCTGAAACTTGATCCAGAGGGGTTATGTGGCATATTAGCTTACTGTAAATATACTATAATTCAAGGGTCTTAATGGGGACACAACCTGGGGAAGGGGGGGGGGAGGAATCGATCTGGATTTCATGTGCCATCCGTACCTCTTGCTTGACCTGGCCAATTCCTTGGCTCAGGTAGCGGCTGCCAATGTCTATGCACAACAAATGAGGCTGGTAGCAGCAAATAATTGAAAAATTTCGCTGACTCGTAGTGAAGCACCTGAAAGCAGCCCCAAGCATTGATTGTGATCCGAATTGAGAGCTTCGTTACATCGTAGCTGCCATTATTGCTTTTTGGGTTTTCTGATAACTCTGTTCAGAAATGTGGATTCGATTTTGTGGAACTATCTGGTGGAAACATAGAGAAGCCTGCTTTTTCACACTTGCGTGAATCCACCAGAAAGCGGGAAGCGTTCTTTTTAGAATTTGCACAGCAGGTACCACCAGTTTTCTTATTGGTTAACTTTGCATTCTTCATTATTGTTTAAGATTCGACCAGTTTTCGAGAAAACTGTTGTGTATTTAACTGGTGGTTTCCGAACAGCCCCAGCCATGGTGAACGCTGTGTTTGATGGAATTACTGACGGTATAGGTATAGGAAGGCCAACGACGTCGGAACCTGGTGAATCTAATCATTTTTTGCAGCAATTTTTGAAATAGATTTTCTTTTTAGATCTTCCTGCAAAAATTCTGCACGGAGAATGCCTCTCAGCTGCCGACGTCAAGTTGGATCCTGATGACTATATGATAACATCAACGGCCAGTAACATGCAGATGGCACAAATGGGTAAAAGGCCGTTTTCTGAGGTGAAAAAGTATGTAAAGTCCCTGTTTTTCTTCGAAGCTCATTATTGTATTACTGAATATTGGCTTTCCCACGGTGTCTTTTTCTTAGATTAGGCGAAAGCTGGAGTTCAAAACCTTAGGGCTATGTCACATTACGAATTCAAGGGTCTATAGCTGAACTTGATATAATGCTGCGTTTTCAGTGTGTGTGACGATATTGCGGATCTGAGTAATCCGGAAGAAGCGGACAATTTCAAGAAGGAGGCGGCAGAATATTATAAAGAGATGAAAGAGACAGCCGAACGTGGTGAACCTTTACATGGTGTGATGCAGTATAAAAATATTGTTTCTTAGGAATGTACTACTGTAATTTATTGACTTCATTACAAAGATGTGCAGACATTAGGTACTTTTTACTTTCATAATTTGGAACTCATTGAACATTGTTTGTCTTTTCAAATAAAATTTTGATTTGTAGCAAGCTGTTATTCGAAACTTTTTGTATCTGTGCAGCATGTATGTGAAGAATGCATTTTTTCACTCGATAAAAACTTCAAAGGATGGGAATGATTAGCCTATAACACCAGCAACTAGGAAGTATTTTTTCCGTCACCGTTTCGCATAAATCTCATAACTTTGGCATATTCTCCAATTTTTGTACGCGTGAGGACGTTCTATTCATTCTTCGAATAGGATTTCTTTGACCATTGAATATGCACAGCTTCTAGAGGCAGGACTGCAATTATGACAACATCACTGTAGCACATAGATCAAGAATTTCAATGGTAAGTGTCTAGTGTATTTATCTGTCTGTCAACTATTATCGTTGTATAAATGCAGTTTTCCACTTCTGCCAGGTTATATTTTTGGATCTTGGATCTTTGAATCTTTTCACACATTAGAATTTTCGAATAGTTCAATTGCAAATGGCCATCGTTGAGAAAATGTTCAAAAGGGCGTCAGAGGCTTTTAGTTTTGATGGTTTTTAGCTTTTAAAAAAGTGAACAAGATGCTCTCTTTCATCTCTTTCCCGAGTACTACATGCAGAACAGGCTCGCTTCCAATGAATGACCGAGAGGTCAAAAGTAACCAACACTTATGTCTGTAGTAGAACACTTTTTTTGAAATGATACTTACTCAAGGTTTTCTTAACATTATTATCTTTCTATATTTAGACATTTATTTTCTTCTCCATTTATTTCCATCACTTAAGTAGAGAACTTATGCAGGCTAATGCTTTCTACGAAACATTCCTGTTAGCGTTTGAGGAGCTTGTGTACTGTAGACTTCTCAAACTTTAGCGGTTTTGTAGTCAGAAGCTTCTGATACTTCCCGATTTTTTTCAGTTTCTGCATTATAATGCTCTAGAGTGCAATCCAAATAGATAAACAGTGCATGGAATATCTGCTCGTATCGAAGTTTACGTTAATCAAATCACCAGATAGGAATACGGAACTATCTAAGCAGAAAGGAAGCATAAAGAACTCACATGTACTGAAATGATGCAAACATTGAAACTCAGTGGAGGCCGACTAAATTGAAAACAACAAAATGTCCAGTGCAATGCCGCTGGAGCACATTTACACCCAGCACGACTGCATAAATGTTTGCGATTGATACAGCTGAGTTAACGTGATCATTTTCTTACAACAAAGTGTTTGTGCAGAGACGAGAAAACATTCCAACACATCTATGACAACTCAACCGTCTAATCGTGATCGCTTTGACACATACAGTGCTGGGATGTCAAGACAGTGAAAGGACCCTGCATTGCAAAGGCACGTCCGCTCAAAATCTCGGCTTCCATGTTTTTGGCGTTCCGGCCTTATCTAGGCCTTTTACGGCGCTGCTAGATAAGGAATCCAAAAAGTGAATCCTAGAAAACCTCGCTTTTAGCTATATGGAGAGACCGCTTGAGCTGCACACCGGGATTAGTAACTTCTTTATTGACTGAGGTTTCGGCTATATCGCATAGAATCTGAAATGAATGCATAGGTAATCTATCCTGTAAAAAACCGCAACAAGACTCAGAAAGAACATTCAATGCGTCAGAAAACCAAGAGCTGCAGATAAATGCAGAAGTAAACTAGTGCTCACCTAAACAGCTGATGACTGCTTGGTCAACAGACCGTATACCAGTAAGGGATCGTTCAGACCGCGCCTGTACCCGCCCAAATGCGCCCAAATACGCCCAAATACGCCAGAATACGTCCAAATACGCCCGAATACGTCCAAATACGCCCAAATACGTCCGAATACGTCCAAATACGCCCAAACCCGCCCGAACGCCGAAGCTGCCAATGCGCAGCAAATTGCATGCAAATTGCTCGTTCGCTGCAACAATACTTAACTGTTAGAGTTACAATGCGTGAAAAAAGCAACTTTTCCGTTTTTCAGCCAAACTAAGACTCCGGAAATCCACGGAAAGGCTATATCGTGCGCAACGAGTGCGATATTCATAATCAGCGTGCTTGGAAACCCCTCTAGGCAAAGTTGCGTGCTCCAATATGCCAATTTGCATGCAATTTGCTGCGCATTCGGGCGGGTTTGGGCGTATTCGGACGTATTTGGGCGTATTTGGACGTATTCGGACGTATTTGGGCGTATTTGGACGTATTCGGGCGTAGGGCGTATTTGGGCGTATTTGGGCGGGTACAGGCGCGGTCTGAACGATCCCTAACTAAACTCCAACAACTTTTATAGTACCCAGTGACCAAGCACTTGAACACAGAAGCCACAAAGGCTCTGATAAGCGACCATCTCACTAGTGATGGCTGTGCACTCATCCTTTCTATTCAAATTTGGAATTTTGGCGGCAATCCGAAACGCTTCTAATGTCTTGCGCGCCAGGATTTCGGATTCGCGTGCTAAGATCGTGACCTCTACAGCTATGTCTAAACTAGGAGATCTAGGCTATCGATCCATATAAATAAGGTTTGCTAAGAATGTTTTTTTGATATAGTTAATGGGGTGCGGCACACCCCCTTAAAAGCTGCGGCCGCCGCAGCTTTCAAGGGGGTGTGCCGCACCCCATTAACTATATCAAAGAAGCAATTTTAGCGGACAGTATTTATATGAATCGATAGCATAAACCTTATAGATTCCACAGGACTGTTTGGAGCCTGATTCGTCTTCTTAGCTCTGAGTAATATTTGGTGAAAGCATAGCGAACAAAAGCGAAAAATGGGAAAAACGAGATTTTGGTTAGCTTCTAACTCCACAGTTTGGAGGTCTTCTGAAGCGGAATTCCTGAGGTGGACAAAGAAGGAGTAGTGCTTTGTCTTGAGTGCAAAAATGGATAGCTAATTCACCTTCGAAACAAAGTTAACCATGTTGGAATTTGACCATTTCACTTAGGTAGCCCAGTATCTTGAATCTTCAGAATTCGCTCAAACTTTGTCTACAGGGGTTATTTGACATGCTAATTATGGATAGGATACGAATATCATGTTATCACTATTATCAGATTACCCAGCTACGACCCCCTCCGCTTTTGACTCCTATACGACCCCCCAGGTGTGGCGTGCCGCACCCCACGCTTGACCCTGGTGATCATAGTTCTCTGATGAAACCGTCAGTTTGTGTCTGCGATTACTTTGCTCTTGAAGGCACCGTCTACCCTAGAGCCCGTATGCACGTACATCCCCGCTGGGAAGGGAAGGGGATCTGAGAGGGATGCGCCCTATCTCGCAACTCTCCGTATCTTTCTTCTTCCTACCTGCGCATAATGGATGCCAGGTTATCGGCGTGATTGAGTAAATTTTCGCTATTTTGTGTGATCCCTGGAGATCCTTTCAATGCCATTTATTTCCTTAAAAAGTCAATGAAACGCTGTAAAATTGTACTGTGGATATACTATGGCGCTGCTAAAGATGATTATAGTAGAAATAAGTGAAATCTCAGGATGTCGGAATTTTCGGCAATCCCTAGCTCGCAGCTAGGGATCGTCGAAAAATTCACATCTAGATTCCATTTCTTCCGTCGATAATATGCTTAGCAGTGCCGTAGTATATCCTCAGTACAATTTCACAGCTTTTTCATTGACTTCTCAGGAATGTAAATCACTTTGAAAAGGAGAGGTGATCCCCAGGGGATCCCCTGCGGATCACACAAAATGGCAAAAAACCAATCCTGTTTGGAAGGAACCTGGCATCCATTATGCGCAGGTATAAGTGTATGAAAAAATTTACAAGCAAGATAGAGATAGAAGAAGAAAGATACGTAGAGTAGCGAGATATGACGCATCCCCTCTCAGATCCCTTCCCCTCCCAGCGGGATGTGCGTGCTTACAAGCCTAAGTTGAGAGTCTTGAGCTTTTGGTAGCGTATGATAGTAGGGCCCTCTACCAAGCCAATGCCCAAATCGCGGCGCAAAATGTCGCTTCGGAAGCGAGAAAATCGCGCCGGAATAATGAAGATCACGAGCACCCCAAGACGGCACCACCCTCCCCATCCATGCTCGCTCTTCCGTGCGCCCAGCCAATTCCGAAAAGCCGGCCTGGGTTCTCTGAAAACGGGGTTTGTTGGGGTTTTCGCGGTCGACTTCATATTCGAATCAGGGACATGAGAAGGCCCCGGAAATCAAAACATGGAAGTCGGGAATCTGGGTGGACGGTGCCTTCAAGCGAAACTTTTATCAGCAGAAACACCCGAGGCGATGAGCTTTCTTTAAGACATTGTTTGGCCATGCGAACCTTTCTTCTGTTGATAGACAGCTACTTTTCTTGAGAATACCAGTGGTTAGAGGATGTCGGGTCTCCATTCCATTGGCCCATACAGCCTACCCATCTATCTCACATGTGGTTCCATGGGAAGTTTTCGGAGTGTATTCAGCCCCATCTTTCACAACCCTCACCTCCCTATTGTTATGTAATCTTTCTTTTATGTACTTTCTTACCATACCTACCGCTTCGAAAGTACCTGCTAGTACAAAAAGTACAAAAAGGCCTTGGTATACAAGCACTTCGTTCAAAGTGGGCTGATTCGACGTCTCCGACACTGCTTTGATTGGAGTTACTCCCGCCCTTTATTTTCATCACATAAATAGACAAGTCATGCACTTATGAACACAGATTAAATTTTGAGGAAAGTTAGTGAAATAGCTCAATTTCCTGCTGTTTTCGTCTCATTTTCCTTCGCCTCATAAGCTTCTCTTGCAAGCTTCTCCTTCATCTCGCGGCGCATTTGCTCAAAATACAAAACCTTCTGAAATAAAATTACTTTTGCATAAGGCTGTCTCAAACAGATTTATGTAAAAATGACTAACTCCTGGGTACTTTTTGTTGAACTCTTGGATCGCCGCACGAAACTCCCTTAGTGTCATATTCTTACTGCGCCCAATGGCACTGTATACCATATAATCGTGCACAAGTTTTATGAAGCCTTCCAGTACCATTTTATCAACCTTCTTATTCATCTCTTCCCTTCTTTCGAATTCCTGCTTCAATCTTTCCTATAAGACGATGCATTTGTAAATCCTCTGCTCTCTCTTTGCGGAATCGCTGAATTGACGTTTCGAAACGATGTAAATGATGTTGTCAGTTGACATTATGTCATTCCCAGGTTTGAACGGTGGACTGGTTTATTAACCTTACGTTTCGGCAATGACGGTGAATTGAATCGGCAAAATCGTCTTCGTCGGGGCCTGAAAGTAGGTTGCAGTGTTTAGTCTGTGGGGCCCGACTGCCGTATGTCTTCTGCACTGTCGAGTCTGGACCTTGTCTCGTATCCAACGTATAAAGATGCAGTGTTGATATACTGGACTACACTATTCTACGTCACCTTAATTTTGCGAAAGTGCTTTACGAACTACTGGGTGTTGGATAAAGGCGATGGTACTTTTGGTAGAAGTTGGCTTAGGATTTTATTCAGAAACCACGAAAACTTGTCTGTAGGGCCACCAAAGCTAACTTTTATAAATTGTGGGTTTCATGGAATCGTAAGAGGACGTTTATTCGAACGGGTAATCTGAATGTTAGAGTCAAAGAGCATCCAGTGGCCCGAAGAAGGGCAGATGCGATGTCAATTTTGGGAAGACATAGTATGAAGAGCATATGGCGGTGAATTTAACTTAAATGCACTTGTCATACAAAGAAGAGATTTTAGTAAGGAAGACTATCGAGGCTTGGATTTCTCGCTGACCTTTCAAAATAAAACGGAAATGAATGCACATAACAACCAAGCTTCTTAACGATCTGTGAACGATAACCTGCACACATACATATACAGGGTGTCCCAAAAAATGTGAACACTGTTTGATCGTTAATAACATTGTTGCTTTCATGTCTTTCGCCGAGCTTGAGGCACAATTCTGTAGAGCGAGGCTCAACTTAGATTCATAGTATGGAGCGAATCACCGATCGCTGTCGTTACTGTAGGATTACGGTATGAACTTCTAGCATGCGGAACTTGTGAAGTATGCCATTTGACAAATTTTTTGATCTGAAAAATCGTGTACTAGGGTTTTCGCGCACGCTGATTCCATTACACAACTTTTTACGAGTGTTTCTCGCTTTTTTGACAGTGTAGTTACATTTCTGACATATGCTTGAAATTCAGTTATTACGATTTCCTGAGATAACCTTGGAGGGAAGCATCATAGTGGAGGGAAGCATCATAGTAAAGCGCAAATTTTATACTCGAACTCAGCGGCTTCCATTACCATGGTATAAAAATTTTTGACAGGTTTGGTTTTGTTTCGAGGAGAATATGGCTCCAATGGCCTAAATCCTTGTCGAAGATCCCACCGTAATTCTACAGTAATGAACAGCGATCGACGATTTGCTCTATAGTACTAATCTAAGTTAAACTTCGCTTTATAGAATGGCTCCCCAAGCTCGGCGAAAGACATGAAAGCACGGGAGATATTAACAATCAAACATTGTTCACATTTTTTGGGACACCCCTGTATAAGGTGCCGATCGCTGAGCAAGACGTCAACGAAGACGATTTTATCGAAAAGTAGGGCCAACAAAGAATTCCACCGTACAAACCTGGCATTTGCGTAACATCAACTGATAACGTCATCAATATTGATTAGGGTCATTTGAGACCATGCTTTGCAAATGAAAGCCTCTATCCCTCCTAATAAGCTTGCTGTAAGTGATATTCATCTACTAACCAATCTTTTTGCCTCTTGTTCTTGAGCCATCTGCTCCAACTCTCCTAAAGTCATGTTCTCATTTCTTCTAAGCAAATTTTCTTCCTTCCGTGTCCAGTGTGCTGCATGGTAGGGACCACCACGATAGCCATGTTGATGAGGTTCTTGTTGGCTGTAGACGAAGATGGGCAGAACAACCAGAAGTTGAAGTGCGAGCATTTCTGCAAAACAATTGTGAAGACGACAGAAGTCGGGGATGTAAATCAGGGGGTTTAAACAAATGTTTTGCGGCTGGTACCTTTTAAGCGCAGTATTCTATTTTACATATAAATGTTAGCGTTACTGTGTTAGCTCTTCTAATGGAATGTTTTGATATCATACAATGTAGTCGCTTTCGATAATCGTGTTAATGTGCTAAAAGCGGTGTTGACGTTTTACATGCTACCGTCTGCTACGGTCAGAGAGCATTTTGTCAAACGTAAAGGATCGCATGCATTAACATCTCAGCCGGGGAGGGGATTGCAGCTAAAAATAAGCTTCATATTATAAAGCTCCAGGTGTCTGGATTTGATGCTGTTTATCCATCAGTAAGAATCCCTACTTCTTTTACTATGAAGATGTTGAACAGGAGCAAGAAGTTGTACGAACTGCATTTTCCAACATTCTCTACGGTCCCTGTTGGTCGCCAGCGGCCAAGCTTCTTTTCTTCGAAGTCATTTTTCTCTCTTATTGTTAGAAGTCATAAGAGTATTCCAAAGCTGCACTAATTCTCTAACACAACGCTATGCATGTTTCTGATAAAACAAATGATGTAGAGAAGTCGCGGAAGTTGAGATGAACTTCAAGTCGAATGTTGGGTCCATCAATAACTTCGATTTTCCAATAAGTCATTTGTTCTTATCAGAAACATGTTTAGCACTATTCGGTTAGGTGACAGACAACCTTGAAATGTTTCTGTTGACTTCAAGGAGAGTAAAAAACTTCGGTTACGAAAACGATTGGCCGCTGGAGATCATCAGGGAATACAAAAAGTTGGAAAAAGCCGCGTACAGCTTCTCGCTCCTGTTCAATGTATTCAGAGTAAAGGGTGGTAGGAATATCTACGGATGGACAGACAGCGTCAAATCCAGACATTTGAGCTTCAGGATATAAAGTTTTCTGGCAGTCTGCGATCCCCTCCTCAAAGGCACCGTCCACCCAAAATGGAGGTTGGCGAGATTATGATGGCATACTAGTGTGGGCCCCCATACTAGACAAACCTCCAAGCTTAGCCGCAAAAGACTGCTTCTGGAGCGAGAAATTCGCCCCACTTGCAAGCTTTATCTCGCCTGCGCTTGTTGCAGAAGGTTCTCGAAACGGGGATTTTTGGGGGTTTCGCGGATTTTCGACTCCATATTCGGAATCAGGGCTTTCAGAAGGCCTGAAGGCGACAAAAACATTGAATTCGAAATTTAGGGTGGACGGTGCCTTCAAAGGGGATGTTGCTGAATGCGACCTTGAAGAAGTAGTGTTGGAGAGCAGCTCACAAAGTATCACATTTCAGATATCATGTGACTCAAAACATTGTTATCAAGTATCCATCATCTATATATATACAGAGTGTCCCAAAAAATGTGAACACTGTTTGATCGTTAATAACTCCCTTGCTTTCATGTCTTTCTCCGAGCTTGAGGCACCATTTTATAGAGCGAAGTTAAACTTAGATTTATAGTATGGAGCGAGTCATCGATCGCTTTTCATTACTGTATGATTACGGTAGGAACTTTGACAAGGATTTTAGGCCATTAGAGGCCATATTCTGCCTCGAAACAAGACCAAACAAGCCAAAAGCTCTTATACTATGGTAATGGAAACCGCTGATTTCGAATATGAAATTTCCACTGTACTGTGACGCTTCTTTCCGAAGTTATCCCAGGTAAACCGTAATAACAGAATTCCCAGCACTTGTCAAAAATGTGATTACCAGGTTAAAAAAGCTAAAAACTCTTGTAAAAAGTTGTGTAATGGATTCAGCGTGTGCGAAAACCCTAGTACACGATTTTTCAGATTTTTTGGAAAAAATTTTATCTAATGGCATATTTCACAATGGATTCACAACCTGGAAGTTCCTACCGTAATCCGATAGTAGCGAAGGGAGATCGGAGTTTTGCTTCATACTGTAAATCTAAGTTGAACCTCGCTCTACGAAATGGTGCCTAAAGCTCGGCGAAAGACCTAAAAGCAACGGAGTTATTAACGATCAAACAGTGTTCACATTTTTTTGGGACACTCTGTATATATATATATATATATATATATATATATATATATATATATATACAGGGTGTCCCAAAAAAATGTGCCTACTGTTTGAATATAAATAACTTTCTTGTAATGAAGTGTTTCGAGAAGCTTTAGGTACCGTTCTGTAGAGCGAGGTTGAACTTAGATTTACAGTATGAAGCGAATCATCTATCGCTCTTCATTACTGTAGAATTACGGTAGGAACTTCGACAAAGATTTTAGGTCTTTGGAGGCTACACTCTGCCTCGGAACGAAACCAAACAAGCCAGAAACTCTTACACTACGGTAATGGGAGCCGCTGATTTCGAATTTGAAATTCCCATTTTGCTGTGATGCTTCTTTCTCAAGTTAACCCCGGTAAATCGTAATAACTCAATTCCCAGCTTTTGCCAGAAATGTAAATACACCGTCAAAAAAGCTGAAAACACTCTTAAAAAGTTGTTAGATGGAATCAGCATGCGCGAAAACCCTAGTACACGATTTCTCAGATTTTTTGAAAAAAATTTTGTTAGGTGGTATATTTTACAATGGTTCCATATGCTGGAAGTTCTTACCGTAATCCTACAGTAATGAAGAGCGATAAATGATCCGCTTCATACTGAATCTAAGTTCAACCTCGCTCTACAAAACGGTGCCTAAAGCATCTCGAAACACTTCGTTACAAGAGAGTTATTTACAACCAAACAGTAGGCACATTTTTTTGGGACACCCTGTATATATATATATATATATATATATATATATATATATATATATAACTCAAAACCACGGATCTCCCTCATAGAGGGATCACAGCCGGTTAGTCGCGAGGCTACGTGGGGCGTCCCCAGGTGGCGGACAGGGGGATAATCGCCGACCAAAGCGACCCCGCGCCTGCTCTGATAAGCAAGCGGAGCCGGGGGACGGACTCCCTGCCTCCACTAAAAGCTTGCGTCCTAATTTCCCGGGTAGGTGTGTGGGGAGGCGAATTCGGAGTCGCCTCCAACAAATAAGCTCCGATCGTCCCTCGCGGGGGTTTGGAGCCCAACAAGCTATCCCTGCGAGTAAATTCTTGTTCGACACAGTGATAATATGGAAAGCTCCTTTAATCTTGGAAGAGCCACTGGTAAGGCAGCGCCAGTGGGGACAAGGTTTGAAAGGCGATCTAGGCTGCCGAAAACGAGACGGACTATGATGACGATCTGTACTTACAACGCGAGGACGCTGGCATCGGACGCATCTATCAAAGATCTCATGATGCAAGCAAGGAAGATTAAGTACGACGTCATCGGACTGACCGAGACAAGGAGGCACCACCCGCTGAACGCCACATTTGAGACTGGAGAAGAACTATTTCTAGGAACATGCGACAGTCGAGGAGTAGGTGGAGTGGGAGTCCTTGTCAACACGAGTTTGGCCTTGAACATCGATTCGTTCGAACAACTTACAACTCGGATCGGACGTTTGCGAATATCAAGATGTGGATCAATCCCTGCCTTGACCGTCATTGCGTACGCCCCAACATCCAGCTACGACGAGGACGAACTCGAGGAATTTTATATGGACTTGGAGAAGTTCTACAGAGAAGATCATACCTTCTACAAGATCATCGTCGGTGATTTCAACGCGAAGATCGGAACTAGAAGGTCGACTGAGGAACTTCACTTCGGAACCCATGGTTTGCAGTGGAACGAACAAGGGGAGAGACTGTTCGAGTTTATCATGACGACGAGGACTATCCATGGAAACTCACAGTTCCAAAAGCCCTCTTCCCTACGCTGGACCTGGGAATCGCCCGGTGGAGAGTACCATAACGAGGTTGACTACATCATCGTCAACAGAAGGTACTGCCTGACGGACGTCGCTGTTGTTCCGAAGTTCTACACGGGATCAGACCATCGTCTCCTGCGCGCCGAATTCTACTTTCCGCGGAATGGAGAGAGAGCCGTCAAGTTCAGGAAACATCGTCCCATGAATACCACCAACTGGGATCTGTTTTCTTCGATATCCGGCTCATGGCGAGATACCGTGATGGACAACATCGACGAAGAATACGAACGGTTCGTGCAACATCTCCACGGTTGTGCCAAGGAAGCTCAGAGTCTAAGAAGTACGAGAAGGCGTCTCACCACGGGGACTTTGGAGCTGATACGCCAACGTGGACGCGCACGAGCCACAGGCAACTACCGACTGACGTCCGAGCTTGCGAAGCGATGCAGAGAAGCGATAAAAGAAGACCTTAAGGAGAGAAGAGTAGCAGTGATGGTTGATGCCGCGGAGGCTGGAAGAAGTATACGCAACGCCCGCCGAAGCTTCGTCAACTTTAAGACAAAGATGACCGCACTTTGTCGTCCTGACGGAACCATAACTGCTTCCCGAAGATCAATGGAGAAGGTCATCCACGACTTCTACTCGGATCTTTTTGCGAGCCACGTCCACCTTCCACCATGCCATCTCAAGGAGGACGAGTATGTCGCACCGTCTGTTCTTCCTTCCGAGATTCGTCATGCTATCATGTCGATGAAAAACCGTACAGCACCCGGTCCCGACAGGATTAAGCCAGAACATCTGAAGAATCTTTCGCCAGTTCTCATCAAGACTTTGGCAAGGCTCTTCACGCGGTACCTGACGGAAGGCAAGGTTCCAAGGCAATGGAAGACCAGCAAAACCGTGTTGCTGTACAAGAAGGGAGATCCCTGCGACATCGGCAATTATCGCCCTATCTGCTTGTTGTCTGTAGTCTACAAACTCTTTACGCGAGTCATTCTCAACAGGATCGGAAGAGAGTTGGACGAAGGACAACCTTGCGAGCAAGCTGGGTTTCGAAGAGGATTCAGCACGATCGACCACATACACACGGTGTCAAGGCTCATTGAAGTGTCACGAGAGTATAAGATGCCGCTCTGTCTCACCTTCATCGACTTGAAGAAGGCCTTTGACTCGGTTGAGACTGAAGCCGTCATCGATGCCTTGAGCAATCAAGGTATTCCGACTCATTACATCAAGATAATTCGT